TTATAGTGTTGTGCGGGAAAGTCGACGCACGGGCTTTTTGTAGAGTGTAGGCGAGTTCGAATAGTCGGTTTTGAGTTTGAAGCGAATAGTGGTTTTGGCCAAATATTTTATATTCGAATATTTAATAGTTTCTCCAAGCTTTTCACTACTGCACCATGTCCGAACGAAATTCAATCTGAACTCGTGAATGTTGTTCTCGTGCTTCCACTTGTCCATATCTAAGCTATGCGGATTTTGGACTAGCTATATTTATGGACTGTGACCTCAGAAAGTCCATTGCTTACATAGGAAGGCAAGGTAAGCCGCGCATTTGACGTAAACTTAAACCTATGGAGATGACCAGTTATACCTAATTGAGGGGATCTATAAATATTCTTGCTATAAGCAAATAGTCTTTATTAAATTAAAAATTTGAGAAAATAACAGAAGGCAATCATGAATGATGAACGGTTGTCAGGACATGTGTGCCTAACATATACTCTTGTATGATAGCCACAGTTTAATTTTGAAAATTTTACTGTAGTGCATATTAGCACTCACGGAGTTTCCGTTTCTCTTTACAAGTACCACGCGTGCACCACACCGCTTTGAAAGTGGACTTTCGTCTTAACAATATGTGTGCTTTTCGAAGTGTTGATCGCGGCCTTTTAGCCTGTTAAGTGCGCTTCTTACCGATCACCGGTGCACTGCAGACAAGCAACACTCGCGGAAGCGAGCTATACGGGTGTTGCTCCTCCGCAGTGCACCGGTGCTCAGAAAGAAACGCGCTCAACGGGACTAACCCGCAGCGGTCAACACCTCGACAAATACGAATATCAGAGTTTAACTCAAAGCGAATATCGAATAGCGTATTATTCGAAGCTACAATTTGAAAATTTTAATATTCGCACAACACAGTTTTCTTTCATTCTTTCTGATATCTTCGTTCGAGCTTTTGTTGAATGTCGCACCGCTGATTTTTTTACGAGCGTTGATTTTTTTTTTTTTTTGCGTCGGTAGCAGCGGGCCGTGGGCTGGCCCCGTTACTAGAAAGACCACGGCCAACAACGGGCCAGCCGGAACGCCTCTTGCGGGCCGGGGTTTGGAGACCCCTGGTTTAGGGTCATGACATCCTTTGTCGTACCCGATGCCATCATGACGTGCTCGCAGGGAAAATACAAAGGAATAGGCGAAAACAAAATGTCTCCGTAGCACAGTCAACGCCAAGAGCGCGTGCGCGGAGACGCTCTTTCACGCGCTTCAGAACAAAAAGAAAAATAAACGTTCAGGACAAAATGGCTAGATTTCCTCTTCCTAAGCAAAGCGCACATGAAGGCGCCCTACTGACTTCCACGCTGCAAAGAGGACGGGCGAGTCGCGGGTTTCCCCAGCACTGTGAAGGCTATGAATGACGCAACACTACGTATTCGATTCGGACCAGAATTCGCAAACCCCTAAAAGGTAGTAATCTTCCCTCACTTTCTCTCTCTTTTTCGGTATTAACGAGCCTCTTTCTCTTTTTATCTCCTTATGGCATAGCGTGCCCCCTCCTTTGAAAGTGCTTCAGCGATTCAGCTAGCGTCGGAAAGTTCGCCCCGTCTTTGAAAACGCTCTAAGCGCGCGCAATCAGCCAGGGCGAAAGCTGGCCGGGCCATAACGTTAATGGCGAGTGCAGATCGCTTACCAACGGTGCGACCCACCCACCCGAAAGCGCAGGTGTCAGGTTCCCGTGGCGGCAGCCGGGGTGGCGGCGGCATATAATAGTATACTTCGTTGACCCCTAAGCCGACAGTGAAGTTAAGGCTACCTGCTCGTTGGACCAGTCAGACCTCTTCCTCTCGTCACGTGACCGCGCTTCCGCCCATACCCACGCGCACAGAGCGGGGTCAGGTGATGTAGGCGAGGCGTTTGATTGGTCCGGCGACCTTGTAGCTTCCGCCGCACTGTCAGCTAAGGGGTGAACGGAGTTATATACCTGTTCAGGGGTTTGGCGATGGCGAAACCCGAGTACCCGCGCTTCATTATCGATTAGAGATGCTGTTGTAGCAGTGGGTGTGGCTACCGGGCGTTACACGTCCGAGTAACGTTTGATCGCCCATGTTGCGAAATGGCGGTGGCATATCGGCCCCTTTGCGCCCTTCCAACGAGTAACTGGGATAAAATAAAACAAAACAGTTGAAAAAGTTCACTGGTAAAAGCGACAGACAAGATCAGCAGCGTGTAATCTATCTTTTTCCGTGGGTAGTTTTTGAAGATATTAATATATTAAGGGCGGACAGTGGGCACATATAATTTTAATTTTTGTACATGCGATCGCTCTCGTGGAAGAAACATCTGAATACACCCTGCTCGTTAGTCCCCTTTTTATCCTGATGTGTGGCTTTAGTTGTAGTACTGCGTTCTTTGTGACTCTCATTAGTTCGTGTGCTTGGCGATTAAAATAAAATCTCGTAAGCTACAATAAAAGAGAATATATTGCTTAGCTTACAAGTGTAACAACATATAACCGTTCTTTTATTCAGAACTCAATCAGAAAACCAATTCCCTCTGCCAGTACAAACTTGAAATTCTTTATCCAGAAAAACTTTATCACAAAAGACATGCACCAGGTATTCTTGTGAAATTCTTATTGCTTTTTTTTTTTTTTTACATGAAGGTAAAGGTTTTGAGTTTATGAAAGTTTTTACGGATGACGGCCAGACATCCATTAAGTCCAGAAAGTCCGAAAACTTACAGACAGCGTTGATTAAAAGATAATTACATCCTTCCTTTTTTTTCATGCTGGTTGTTTTTTTCTTATTTAATTTTTTTTTTTTTTTTTGGGGGGGGGGGGGGGGGGGCGGGGGGTAGGTGGCCGAGTGTGTTCGTGCACAACAGCTTGGAGCACGTGCAGCAAATTCTGTATTTGCTGCAGAACCCAGAGATCCTGGGTTCAATCCCCATCCCTACCCGTTTTCATCTGGATGAGCATCGTACCAGCGGACATTCGTGAATCACTACTGCGTAATACGTGTGAAGGACCCCAGACTATTGGTGGTACTGTGTTGGCAAAACCTCACAACGTAAACCAGTGTCGCCATACCCCAGAGGCAGACAGACCTTACGCTGTTTAAACAACAAAAGGTCGCTCGGCCAGTGTTAAAATCATGTGACCTTGATGGCACATCGATTTTTATAGTTAAAGGCCGGCGTACGACCTCGGTTTTCTGCAGGGAAGAAAATCCTCTTAGCGCTTCCCTCTCCTTAGCTGCGAGGGGAGCCAAATTGGGGCAAGGTAAAAAGTGGAGAGATTAAGGAGAAGGAGGAGGAGGCGGGAAAAGCTGGAAAGCGCAAAGTGTACATCGGCCTTAAAGGTGTGTGTCCATAGACTGGCCGAGCGACCTTTTTTACATCACATAATTTTTTAGGTCGCTGAAGCAATCTGTTTTTCCGACCACCTAGAAAAAGGGCTTAGTAATCCCTCTTTTTAAATCACGCACCTCAACAAATGTCAAAAATATAGACCGATATCATTGCTTTCCGCATTTTCGAAGTTGTTCAAAAAAATCATCCATAAGCACTTGACATATTGTTTTAAGCACGTAATACCCGATGCGCGGCGTGGTTTCATGAGCGGCAGGTCTGTTGAAACTAACCTTGTGTGTTCTTTAAATGATGTGGACCCCAGGGTCTGTTCTCAAGAGGAGACTGACGCCGTGTATTTCGACTGTAGCAGGGCATTCGATCGTGTAATAAATCATAAGCTACTGTTACACAGACGTTTTATGCATTGTCTCAGTGATGAGTGTTGTTCTTGGTTGGAAAGTTATCTTTCTGCAAGAAAAACTGTATCGGCTACGCAAATGTAAAGTCTGTTTTTTTTTTTCTTTTTTTTTTATGTATTATTTGGCGTATTTAGGGTTCCAGTCTTGGACCTCTTCTTTTTAATATATTCGCCAAGGATATCCAAGACGTCGTTCCACATTCGAGTCTCTTGCAGTTCGCGGATGATCTCAAGATCTATAAAAAAACATTTCGTCACTAAATGATGGCGCTCTACTACAGGAAGATATCAATGCCATCTCTCAGTGGAGTAAAAACTACAGGCTTGATCTTAACACTGAAAAAACAAATGTATTATCTTTCACCCGTAAGACTAATCCAAGCCATTTTGTGTACCACTTAGAAGATTCGATGATTACTCGCGTGGCGATTGTGAAAAATCTTAAAGTGATGCTTGACTCCGAACTTAACTTTAACTCACACGCATCCTACGTTGTTTAGCTCATGTTTTCGTCTTCTCAGATGAATTTTAAGATTTAGTACGTGTCTTTTTGGGTGTTTTTTCTTTCTTTTCATCGTACTTTATAGAAGTATAGTTTTTCCACAACATGACTTCTGCTTTGTTATATGGCATAGCCTCAGTGCTACAGCTTCCAAAAATGTCGAACGTGACCGTCTGCAGAAAAGGTTTGCCAGAATGTATCATTTTAGATCTTCACATGACTCATATGCCTACGGCGAAATACTTTGACCATTGATAATTACTGCCCTTGTATCAAGACGGTGTCCTCGCGACCCTATATTCTTGTTTAAATGCATATATACCTCTTGGGATATTGGCTCTCCGGTGTTATCTATTAACTCTCATACACCCGGCAAAAATGTTCGTCATAATCGCACGTTCCATGTCAATCATACGTATTTCACGTCACCCACAGGCCGACTGCAAAACTATTTCAATCGTCTGGAATCAAACGACACTGACACCTTCAACCCTGACTTACCTCAATTCAGGAAGTGCTTGCAACATGTACTGAAATAATGTTTATGCTTTGTAGCTATTCAATTCTTGTATTGTTTCTTTTTTTTAACAAATGTGTGACATGATGTAACCTTGTTTTTATTTATATGTAATCTGCTTTCTTACTAACAAGTGCACCAATGCGTAGGTTTCAGCCGTTATTAGACATTTAAAATAAACAAATACAAATACAAATGCAGATGTAACACTTTGTTTCTTTTCTCTCTTTATATTTTAGCCGTTTCAGCTGCACTGTTTCGAGGTCCCCCTGTAACCAGCGGCAGCTACTGGCTTCGGGGACCTCCGGAGTACATTTCACTATCCGGGGACATTGTGGTCGAGTACGGACTTCCTTCGGTCGGAGGTCCGGCCGGCAGCGGTCCCGGAGGCCTCACGGCCCACGTCCTGGCCTTCAAGGACGACACGATCCTGGCGAAGACGGACGTGCCTCGAAGAGGGGACTCCGGAAGGATCGTTTTCGCATGCGGCCTCGTTCACAAGGCGGGGAGGTACTACTTCCAGCTGGTCGCCGCCGATGGGGTACGTTGGCCCTCAACCGTACTTCTTCGTATAGATGTTCGCAAGTACGACCTCTGGGCGCCGCCATCTTGTTTCTGCAGCGTGTTGAGCGACTGTGGACCGTCTGCTGAGTGTTAAGCCTTGCTGAAGCGCGCCCGGAGTTTCCAGGCTGGTGCCCAAACAATGCGTTTTTCATCCGCGGTGGCCACACTTTCTTGAATGCCTGACTTGGTGCCAGAGTCACCAACAATTACCGGCGGCTAGCTTTCTCTTAAAAGTTCAATAAAGCATGCAATGCAGCCTAATAAGCCACGCAGGATGCGGCCTATTATTGCTTCTAGCTTCGCGATTGGTCCTTCGCTGTTTTTATCGGCTCATGCCGCAATGTCAATGAATGAGGGCCGATAGTAAGATGCTTCGAATGCCTTACGCTCAGTGACTATTGGAGCGACCATTCCAATGTTTTTAGAATACACCAAACCAGTGGTGTCTAGACGTGGGAGGCACTCACTTGATCGAATGACGTTTTAGCGAACGCCCACTTTTCACCGAATGACACTTTAGCGAATAGTCGGACGCCGCGAAGCGGCGTTTTCGGGTGGGCCAAATGGGTTCGCATTTCCGTAATGAGCCGCCGCCTTTTATTGCTTTTATCTCAGCGTGTGTTCATAGTAAATTCCACTTAGGATGCCATTACTCATTGTGTTCCTTTTCTGCGTGTCCCCATTAGGGAAACGAGCACCTTAAAGTTCGCTGCACGAATGACATCGGTTCAGTCGCGAGTGGTTCAGTTATGACCCTACCGTTGAGCTATGACACCAAAGAACGGAAGGCATATCACTTCCTGAACCATGAACCGTCACACAACAAGGTCACGTGTCTTGTCGTTACACGACGTGGTCACATGGCGGGCAGTCACGGTGACACGTCGTGGTTCACGTGATATCCTCTCGTTCTGTCGTTCGCCTGATATATCCTTCGATTAAAAAATGCATTCTATGTTTTTAAAACTAGAATAGGTATTAGGCCTCGCTCATGTGGAAGTAAGATGCAACATGAACAAGTCGTGCTTGTCTGACCAAGGGATTTTGGGCTCGATCCCCGACTCTATCCGTTTCGATGTGAACGAGCATCGTAGAGGTACATACAGTACGTATTCGTGCATACGCTACCGCTTGATGCATGTAAATACCAAAAATAGCATTCACACTGCACTGGCTAAAGTTCTCATCTACAGCGTGAACTCATGTCGTCATTCCCCAAAGGCAAACAGACCTTACGCTGCCTAAAGACAAACCGCCAAAAAAATTTTTCTTGATAATTTTTTTCTTTTTTAGGGGCGATTTTGGCTACACGGGTATTTGACTTCAGGAGCATTCATTCGTACAGATAAGGTGCTGGGCACATATTTACGCTTGTTATCTAATGCACCGGAGCGACATGTGCTTGTCTCCTGGTCGGGCGATAAGAAACGAGCTCGTAAATTGATTTTGTTTTAATGTGTACTCTTCATCTGTTTGTTCGCTCTTATTCCGTACCTATAGCTCGCTTTCTTTCCGACGTAAATTTGAGGGTCTGGAATGCCTAGTTCACGCTTCGTTGCTTTGTATGCTTGGAGGAGCTACCAGAATACTCCCGAAACTGCCGCGCGCGGACCACACGAACATGCGACAAGGCCATCCATCATACTTTGCGCGAAAAATTTTTTATCCTCCCCCCCCCCCCCTTTTTTTTTAAGTGCATTGGTGTATTTTTCAGGCCGCATCGAAGGCACGGCTTCGCTTATTACGTTTCCACTGACTACTATAATTGGCCTTAGTGCTCTAGCGCTGGTCAGTAACTTGGGGCCGGAAAATTGCATTTCTATTTTAAAAAGATAAAACAAAAACACGTCACATTGGTTTTAGTTTGTTTTCAGATTTGGAACGAATGATTTCGATTCCATCGAGAAAAAGAAAAAGACAAATAAGAGGTGAATGTTAAGACAGCGAGAGGTCTGCCCCTATGATGTGGGGACATTAGTTCACTCTGTAGATGAAGACGCTGGTCAGTGGAGTGAACTGCTAATCGAAAATTTTAAATTGGTATGTCACGCAATTGTCATTGCAAGGGAAAATGTGTGAAACTCGCCACCCGTATCAAAATAATTTTGTAGTGTGTCATGCTGTTACCAAAATTAAGAAACGAAATAGCGCTACCCGTTTGTTGGTCGAAACTCAACGCGTTACTGAGATTCGTTACCGCCCTGCACATGTAACAGAATATAGTTCCCCGTGACTTCGTATGTATAACGAACGTTACTTTTGAGTTAAGTTCCCCTGTTTTTTTTTTGTTTTTTTTTATTTTATTAACGTTGCATGGCACCAATAGGAAACGGATAGGAACTCTGACAGCTAGCAACTGAACTGTTACAAAGTGATTTTGTGATACCTTTTTGTTATAATTTATATATCTAATTTGTAGAATACAACGAGTTCTCAATGGCGCGTTGTTTCTTTCTTTCGCCTCTTGACTGTGGGTGGGCGTTCATTCGGGACGGTGTAATGGTCAACCTTGAATTCGCCCAGGAGACTGTGCTGGCGCGATCGAAACAGGACACCGTCGTGCGCTGGCCGGAGGTGGTCAGTCACGTCCCGCTGATCCTGGAGACGTACGGTTCGGACGTGGTAGTCACCTTCGAGTTTCCGTACCTGCGGTGCCCGCCGCTCCAGCAGGACAACTACGGCTTCACCGTGTCCCTGGTGTACCGCGGCACGCACTCCGAGCCTGAGTCCTGGTTCCAGGAGTCCGTGGTCGACCAGAAGGGACTGCCCAGTTGGGCTGCGCTTCGAGGGCAGGACGTCACGCTGGACTGCGAGGCGTTCGACAAGGCCGGATTCTATCAGGTTGGCAGAAACTACGCCTCTTTGCAGGGCTTATCACCTGGGTAAAAAAAGGCCGAGTCACTGGGTTGTGGACGTATGCGTGGCGTTTGATATTCCGCAGAAGAGAGCTTGCGCATGCTCACAATGGGCTCCACAGCCGAGAAAACAAAGATGGTGCCGCTCTGATGGTCACTATTGGAGGGGTCTATGGGCCTCTCTATATTCATAGCCTGGAAGACAAAGATGGCAGTGCGATGAAGGCGACTTTTGGAATGGGCAATACATTCCAGTTATGTACAATCGTTCGTTTTTTTAGAGTTCCCTTCTCAGGGTTTACAAGCTGTCGATTAATTACCAGCTCACCTGCACTCTATCACTGCTTACAATTACTCCTTAGCTTTCTTCTGTGAAATATCAGAGGCACGCATGCGTCAATAGCCCTGTGACTGACCACTTTTTGCTTGGGTCTTGACTCACAAGCACTCGAGAAAATGCATTCGTTGCAGTTTCAACAGCGTGCCACTTAGTCCCCTTTTTTTCTCTTTCACATCTCGGCCGCCTGGCCGCGTCAGTTTTTGCTGCGCATTTGGAAAGACGCGGTCCCTTTTCGCGGTCACTCCTTCGAGTTTTTTATTCGCTGGATGGCGTCGCCTCCTCGGGTGATACGAATTTCTGTGGTTTACGTGTTGATATTTAGAAATAGTAGACATAGTCTGTGTGTCGCATTCGGGGAAAACGAGATCACGAAGAGTCGCCGGATAATTTTCGGGGCACCGCTATCGAAACAAGGATGTTCGCAATGCGTCGCTGACACGAACAGTGCTTGACTGTGTGAGAAACGAGCGCATATGTTTTCTGTGTTGGCCTGGAAGAAAGTTTATAGAATTTTAGAATAGGGGGCTCCTACTGTTTAAGTCTTCCAAGTTGCTGGAGGGGCCCGAGTCACATTATTGTTACTGGCTTATTACACTCAGTCAAAACAAGTAAAATTTTCGTTGAGTGTGCATTACAATATGGCACCTGAGGAAATAGTCCACTCAAGCCAGACAACTTCATTCACATTGCACCTAATTACTGTCCCGCCTTAAGATGCCAAAACGTATCTGTGTTTGTGTGTGTGTAAGAGGGATACGTGGTCAATTCTTACCGCGATAGTTGGTTATGCAAGACACGTGCCATCGACAGGTCCGATTAACCTGCGCCGACGACACGTCCCTGCCCGTCATATCCGAGAGTGTTCCTGTGCGAGTCGTCTGGAGTTCGCGGTACATGCTCAACGTGGCACAGAGTCTCATTGCCAGCTGCCACGACGGCATCAACATCGTCTACCGCTACCCGACCACTTGCAGCAAGTAAGTGTTATTTTTTTTTTTCTTAATTAGACCGCAAGAAAGTATTACCTTACCAGAAACTTCTTACTAGGTGAAGAAGACCCTTTTTGCTTCAGGTTCACGGATTAATCATTTAAAAAGATGCTAAACCGAAATTCGGATTTCACAAAATGAGCTGGCAGAAGTGTTCGACAGGGCGCCATAAACCACGAAACATCACTCGTATAGCCATATCTCGACTTGCCGTATTTCTGGAAAATAAAGGAGCCAATGAGGGAAAATGTTGACGTCATCTTATCGCAGAACAGGTGAGAAGGAGGAGAAATGGCCTCGCTCCCTTTTCTCTCCGCGCCTTCGCGAAGTCAAAGCGAAAAGAGGAGGAAATGAAAATCGCGATATCACGCGTATTTTCGGCCTTGTGCGAGCGCGCTCATCTTTTGCAAAAACACGACGATCCGTTAGAGATACCGCTTTATCAGTGGCGTGTTGGGATTTGTAGCGTCCCGCCTGTCGTTTCTGCGTTGTTTTCTGAAATGCGATTTTCGGTTCAACATCCCTTATGAAATACAAATATATATATACTATAAGAGGACTCTATCACACTTAATCCCAGGAGAAGGTAAAACACTTCTTTCAAAAAATGACAAAGGGGTTGATCCTAATGTAGTTTTATCCCGTGAATCTGAATGTCATGATCGTTTTCCCCTAAGATGTAACTAAACGCAAGAAAACACGGAGAACCTGCAATCAGTCGTGACGTTATAAGAGGATCTTTCGGCCGCCAAGCACTTGTCGCTCAAAGGCCGCGCATGCGCTTGCCAGCTAGCCAGATATATCCCCCCCCCCCCACTGGTACCCGTCGTGACGTCTCTTTTTGCCTTTTTTTTTTAAATATCAAGAGTACGCGTGCTGACTTTGATAGGCGCTGAAGATGCGCGAGAGCGGAGACTCCAAAACGTCTTTTGTGACGTAACACTCCATGAAGAAGGGCCTTCAGCGGTTCTTTTGAAAATGATTTTCTGCAGTCTCCATGCACCAAATAAAAAAATAATAATAATTTAAATGTTCAAGATCTTGGAGGTCAAATAAAGATAATTTAGACGCGTTCTTCTTTTCTTTTTTTTTTTCAAATACAAAACCGCTTTAATTTTTTTTTTTTTTTTTTGAGCCCCAGAGTTTGGACATCTTATACCGAAGACATTTCTTTGGCTGTTTTTACCAAACTATCGTTTCATTCCAGAGACATATCATATACCAGAACATTATTTGCCAGAAGGGCTCATGAAGCATCTAAAGCGGTTTCAGGGCATAACTTACTTCAGGTCATTCAATCCCTAGATATCTCATCCCAGAAACTTCATACCAAAGACATTTCATCCTAAGACGTTTGAACCGGATATGCAACGTCCCTGGAATGAAACGTTTTGGAATAAGATGTCTTTGGTATGAAGTGTATGATATCTGTCATGAGATGTAGTTTCTTGGTATAGAGTGAGTGGATCCCCATTCGGCTGACATTTAACGAGGAGATGCCAGTGTGACAAAAGTGAAGTATACGAAAATGACAAATATGCCGAAACTGCTGCTGTCGCTATGATGGTTGTCTACGAAATGCGTTAGCACCCGACTCTGCGAATGGTGGTGGTTCCAAACTCGCAACGGTCCAGATACTGTTGTGTTCGTAGAGCCAGTATGTTCTCCCGGGCGTCGGCGATTTCGTATGAAGCCAACATAGCTTCCCTCGATCGCCGCGGTCCGCATGCTGTTGTCTTCGAAGAGCCAATCTTTCCTCCCGGGTGTGGGCGGTTTCGCGCAAACAGGGTCGTCGCTGCACCTCGGTTTTGCTTTGCTGCGTACACTGTGCCACCGCCACGGCCGCTCGATCCCCTCCTCTCCCGCTCTCACGGCGCCTCGCTAGAAGCTTGGAGAAGGTTATTTTCCTTTTGTAAGAGGGAACGGGGACGTAAAGATCGAACAAAGCGAAAGAGCACGGCGGGAACCGCACCGCGGGCTCATGAAATCAGTCCATTCCAGTTCAGTCCAAACCACGACCGTCGAAACAAAAGACGGCTAAGTATGAATCATGGCAATAAATGCTAACGCATGTAACCAACAATCTCGTCACCGTTCTTACTGCGCTTGTTTTAACGCAGAGACCGCGACAAGGTACGCGTCTACGGTCTTCCTCGGACGTCGGGGGTGACCGGGGCGGCCCCGTCGGCGCGGTACCTGTTCGAGCGGCGTCTCCCCAAGGGCAAGCACGCGCTCACCCTTGGCTGCCACCTGTTTCCCGAGGGATACGCCCGCTTCTGCTTCGTCTACGTTAGCGTCGCTCGCAACGGCGCCGTCTTCGAGCTCCAGAAGCAGTGCCGACCATGGACGCTCGAACCAGGTCCGTCTTTTGGGTCAAGACGTCCATGAAAGACCAGACCGACCTATCTTCTACGTATTCTGAAATAACCTCAAGAGCACGCTCCTACTTCATTAACCGACCCTTCTCTGTGGCAAAGGCGCTTGATTCCTGGAAGGAGCAATATAAATGAGCGACAGTCACGAAAGCTCATGTTTGTTTCCTAAAGGAAACACGTCTGGACATCAACTTGTAGACGATGAACCTCCGAGATCGTGAACAGTGCAATGTTTATAGTGTTCAAGACTTGTAGTTTCTACGGATTTTATCTGCTCCTTCCACTCCTCTTTCACCCTTTTCCTTAACCTCTCCGGAGTAGCCAACCGGGACAGTTACCCAGGTTAGTGAAGATAGCGAAAGGAACGGCAGTCGAGCTGGTGAAGGACAGTTCATGGCAAAGTTCCGTTTGTGACTTCGTTGTTCTGTCCATTTCTTTTTAAATGTTTTTATTAGTCCTTTGTCTCGGGTTCATTATGAATATCCAGGTAAGCCTCTCTGTCTTCCTCCTGTCTTCTTACTTCATACCTTCTTTCTGAACTTCCCGTGGACAGACTTAAATCAGCATTAGCATGTTGGTGCATAAAGTTATTACGCAGTTCAGTACAACGGTCGGTGAAAAGTTACGGGTGAAGTGGAAGCTCCTCCTTTCCCGCGTTCGCTTTTCTAAAACTGAAAGAGGTGGGAGGAGCTTCCACTTTACTCTTACTTAACCTGTCACCGATTACAGTATGTTCACTGATAGCTGAAGAAACGCAGAGCGTAGCAATCCCCGAGCATCTCATTACCGCGCACAAGCCAATGAGCTTGCAGTATTAGCCAAAAGGAACGCAGAGAAACCAATTACGATGAAACGTGGCGGTAATAAGCCACGCCCTTCGTTTATTAAGCGTTCGGTGACTATAGTTAAATCCACTTACAACGATATTATATGTAACGATGTACCGCTTATAACGATGAGTTTCTACCGGATCATGCGTTTTTTCGTGCATGGGATATCTCCAGTCAAAATACAACGTAATCGGTTAACGATTGCACTTTTAGATTTTGTCATTATCGTTATAAGTGTATTGCATAGTATAGTGGAAAACGTTTATTCAGGCCGATTTAGGGGGAAAGAGGGACGGGAATGAGACGGTGACGTCGAGACCTTGACTTGCGGTAGTGTGAGGTTCAGAAGTGATGTAGTGAGGAGGAGAGATGACTTGTTTCATTCGTGCCACCTTCCCGCAGGTTTTTCACCACGAAGAAATGCAATCCCGCGTCCTAAAATCAGTTTGACATGGAAATATAATAATTTCGGTAAAGGGTTTTCCACAGCGACATGGCCGAGGATATACGTTTTTCTTATCGGTGTGCAAAACATGACATTAAAATATATAGCATGAGGAATATGATCGGGTTTTCTGTTGTTGTTGTTGTTCCAATTGCGTCACGCGCTGCGGTTGGCTTTGTCGGACAGGTGGCCGGGTTTCTGGCTGGGGAAACTGGAGCCAGTGGAGTTTCTGCACGGGCTCTTGTGGCCGGGGCACCCAGAGTCGCTACCGGCTCTGCGGTATACCTGACGGAGTTTGCCGAGGCAGCGCCTTCGACACCAGGACCTGTTCTCTGGAACCCTGCCCTGGTACGCGGAACCGAGCACGGGGGTTCTGCTTTCTTGTTATATAGTTGCCTTTAAGTTACACTGTAATATTTTGAGAGGAAGCGAGATCACACAGACTGTTGCTTTAAAGAACCGCCTAGACATACCTTTCTTTTAGCAGACGTCTGTTCATGTTGTTAGCAAGAAATGGAGGCAGAGAGCTGACAGGGCAACGTGAAAAGTGAAAAATAAAGCATGTTTTAGGGAACAAAGGCGGACAGTCACAGCTGACACACAACTGTTCAGCCACTGTCTGGCAAAACTGGGCCCTTGAACTACCGGCGAAATGAGAGCTGAGGTTCAGCCTGAGATGCAAAATTAGGAACTCTGAATATTAGAATAGATGTTAGGAACTCTGAATATTAGAAGCGTATTAAAAAAGATACAGGATGTGAAAAAATAAAAATAATACGTGTCATGAATGGATTAGATCTAATTCCCTGCGCAGGTCCTATATTCTGTTCTCTCGAACACCTTTTAGAGCCCCATCTCTGCACATCGTTGTTTTTAATTTGTTTAGAAATATATTTTCGGTGCGTCAAGCTGACTCGCACACATCTGCCCCTTTTCTTTACCTCAGAAACTACATTAGCTCCCGATACGACGACCACGACGCCCTTGTCGTCCACGTACTGTCTGTGTGGCTGCACCCTGTCAGTCTTCAGGAAAGAAACCATCCGTTACTCAGCCTCGGCCCCATGCGATGGACCGGTGTCCTGGATCTTCAAGCCCTTCTCGGCGCCCAGGATAGTGGTACAGTTTACAGAAGTGCACCTTGGAAGCGAGCTCGAAGCCATCTCTGTGAGGGACGGGACCTCGTCCCTCGGTGTTTTGCTCGCCTCCCTTCCTCACGAGGAATCATCCGTTGAGGACGAAGGCCCCTTGAGGATTGCGTCTCTCTCCGGGCCAATCAGGATTGACTTTTCGCCAGCAAATCGCAGCCACCCTCCTCCGGACGGTGACTCGGCAACTTTCAAGATTTCTTTCTGGGAAGATAGTAAGTACAAATGGTTTAACATCAACAACAAAGAAAGAACGCGAAAGATAGGTGTCTTAAATATGGACAAGACAAAAGCGAATTGAGTTCGAGGAACGTTATAGTTCCTCACCTAGATATCTCCGTTCCAAAAATTCTGAGGCGTTCGTTAGTTTTGGCTTGCGCTGACTTCTTGAAAACACCATTGGCCGAAAACGGTCAGTGGCCTTTTCTGCCCTACGATGAGATATACCCTTGTTACACGAGCACACTTAACTGCAGTTGCGCTTTACCTCAACTGCCACACTACACTTCGACAATTTTCTGTGGCTATGTAGTCAAAGCTATGGGCGTACGCGTGCTTGGGCATCTTGAGCGCCCATCAAAGCTGTGAACGCGCACTCTTCACTTCTTCTGAAATATCTGTTCGAGAGTATAGTATAGTGATAAGCGTAACTGCATTTAAGGATGACTTTTCTGCGGTTAGGGGTGCCCGTGTGACAAGGGTATTATGATATAAATGCCTTACACTTAGTTCCGGTGAAAGCACTTGGTCGTGCAGGGGTTTCCCCAGGAATTGAAATTAGAAGCTGTATCTAAATCTTTAGGGTGGAAAGGGGGGGAGGAGGGGGCGAGAGAATTGAGAATAGAGGAGTCGTTGCGAATTAAGGGATGCCTTCAGAAAAACAAGGGGGGGAGGGTGTACACTCCCCCCCCCCCCCCCCCCCTAGGAGGTGTGTAGGCAAGTGTGGTCGCGCCACAAAGCGGGCATCGCAGAGGTGCACGGAAGCCGCCTGCTTGTATACGACAGCCATTATAGTCATCACGTGGAACTGCCTTGAATTGTAGACGGCAGCCATAATAGGCTGTTCCAGCAATTCCCTTCTGCGCATTGTCGTCAAATTCTACCGTCCCTTAGAATGGGTTCTGAGCATGTGTTGCCTTCAGGGAAATACCAAAAGCCGCGCACGCGTCCACAGCCCAGTGTCTCGACCTCTTTCCCCGGGGTAATAAGTGCCGCAAAATTACATAGTCATAGCGTGGAACGGTTTTTGATTGTCTGGTTGGGCGCTGTCTTAACACCCTTCCCGTGTTCTTGTACGCCCTTCAGACTCTACGCTGGACAGTTCTTCCAGGAGGACGTACCCTGGCGCGTCCCTGCTCCCTTCATCCGTCCACGTCATGCTCGCCTTCCTGGGGAGTGCAGTACTGGTGACGACGGCGGTCCTGGTTGTCGCCTACCGCAGTCGCTGCTGCTGCAACTGCTGGTCGGAACCTAGCCACAAAGACCGTAGCTTGGTCTCGGAGTCGCTGTGTTCGGATGAGCTTGACCACCGCCCCACGGTTCGGCTCCTGGGTGTAGCTGGATCCCTCACGTCCATCTCGGAGGTTTCGCTCGAGGATGAAGCTGCATCGATGGAGGTTGTACATATCCGTCTGATACATTTATATTCCTTTGTCAATGAATGCGACAAAATGATATAGAGTGTAGTGCTGATACGCCACAATTTTCTTAACCTCTGTCAATGACTTTGTGAAATTATAGAAAGTATAGTACTTCAGATACGTAATAGCTTTCTTAACCAGTCAATGACTTGGTTAAAATTATAAAGGGTATACGTTGCTGGCACGCCACAACTTTCTTTGACTCTGTGGTAAACTTTGTTACAGTTATAGAGAATGTAGTGTTTTATGATACGCCCTTTCTCTTCTCGATATTTTATCTGGTTATTGGATTCCATTTTTAGGCATTCTTTGCATTGGAAGTCTGAACTGTCACCTTTATATATGCTTGGCTGATAACCTTTCTATGTGTTCGGTCTTTCCTATAAATTGCTTATACAGCGATATCTCTTCCGGTTTAATTGCTGTATAAGTGTCGGCCAAATCAATCGCATTCTGGTTACCCAACTTCGCTTGAATTCGCGTCTTTTACTTACGTTCTATTCTATGATGCCCTTCTTTTGTTTTCGGTTGTACAATAATGTGCATGTGATTGTTGTTTTTCTTGTTTTTTTACTCACACATTCCTGTAAAAACCTTATTAGGGGTTGACAGTATAAACAAATGAAATTAGTTTAGTAAAGCCGGAAGCCAAGTCGCTTTCATATTGAAGTTAGTCAGTTGGAGAAATTACAAAATTCGGGTGCTGTTTTGTGATTGTCACTATGTATATTTATTGTTATTCTTTGAGACCCGCTGCTGTCTCCATAGGGTACGAGTGGAAAGCTGTCCGATTTCTGTTACAAGTTGAGCAGATAACGCTTAATGTTAATCGTAATAATAATAATAATAATAATAATATTAATAAAATGGGGACATTTGTTTTACATTAAACACAATACAGATATTAGATACGACAGGGGTGTCTTGGACAACAAAAGAGCTAAGAAGTTTAGTTTTTCATTTCTACTTTAAAATCCTTTTAAAGGGGCCCTGCAATGACTTTTTGACTGGTTTTTAATTTGCACTGAACATGAGCGTACTGAACGTAGTAACTTAATCCAACTTTTCTTTTCTCAAATTTCGCTTTATTTTAAAAGTTATAGGCAAATTAGAATTACAAAAACAAGCAAAAAATAACCTCCTTCATGACGTCGTAGGTCCTGCCTTGAGTAGCCTTGAACTAGAGGAGGAGTAGTGAGCTCATCGAGCGCACACGGCTGCCGCACTCCGTGTCGACGGCTCGAGAGGGCGCCACTAAAGCACGTGTTGGATAGGCTGTATGAAGCGGACGGCCAGGGCAGCTCGTATTGCGTTTGCAGCGCGACTAAACACTAGTTCGGCCTAACATTTCATTGGCCACAAACGACAGCAAACACGGGGTAAAGATCAGTTCAGAACAAGAGCCACTTCGCGCTGACGCACCGCCAAATGGCCGAATCGCCAGCAGGGCCCGCGCCGAAGGCCTTCGGAACGCTCGGAACCGGTCGGATTCTTGAGCCAGTATACGACCACACGACCACAGCGCCGCCGCGTACATCCGGGACCTTTCTACGCTCCTCGTTTGTCGTAGCCTCATCCCACTAGCCTTTTCTAGTATGCGCCGTTTTTTTCCGCTGCTTGGTGGCGGGTATGTCGACGGGTCATTTCTCGTTTCCGTACTTTCTAAACTGGATTTGTTTCTTTTCTGACCTAAAATAGTGAACAAAAACTACTTTCATACATAATTGAAACGGTTCACGACACTTATATTTTGTATCTCGACTAAAAAAAAAGCTCTTAGCGGCTTTGACCAGTGGCAAGCCCAGGACCAAAGACGTCACATTTTGCGCGCTTTCGGTACCGCGGGTCGCCCTCGTCGGTGGAGGAGGTTTCCGCGTCGTCCGGTTAAAATATGACGCACTGATATTTAGTTACTCTCTCCGTGCCCGCTGGCTTGCCCCAACCCCAAGAGACGTGGAAACCGCAAAAAAGGTAGACGCTTAAATATGATTGCAGGGCCCCTTTAAGACTCCTGAGAAGTTCTCCGGCGAGAGTCCCGAAGACTTCATGGACCAGGCGTGCCTCTTCAAGTCTGTCGGCTCTGTGTGCACTGCGTCAGTGGAGTCTACGCCAGTGGTGAGTGCTCTTGATTAATAATGGTATCTCGTGTCAGTCAGATGACTCTGATCTCATTCTTCGATGATTTTCAAAGCTGTCACGTTTTGAAGTCAAGAGAACGCAGACCTCAGCTAGTCTCAAGCGTGATATACAGTCACCGACAGAATGAAAACGGCAGAGGGGAATTTACGTTACACCGCCGCCAGCGTGAGCTTCCATGCCTTCAATAACACTTCGGCATTTCTTGAGCTTCGAGCGCGCGTATGCAGCAAAAGCACGATAGAAGGTAACGACCGCTTGCTGGAGGCAGGACATCTAAATGAGACGCCGTGCCGTTCTCATCCTTCCAGTGGTTATATATATATATATACATATACCGTATATACTCGAGTAATAGTCGCACTGTTTATGAAGAAAACCTGAGGGTTCGCTTTTCCGCGGGGCGCGCGGCTTGCCAATCACCGCGATCGGCAGCATGATTCTAGCGGTTTACAGGACAGAGATAACGTCTTCGCCCGCAGATATCATCGGTGAAGATTGCTTTTGTATGGAGAATCGTGTTCTCTATTTGGTTATTCGCTATGTTATTTATGCGCAACGCGATGATTGGCTGTATATGTGTTCTGCGGTAAAGTAGACGCAAGGGCCTTGTTCATAAATAGTACGGCTATTACTTTAGTAAATACAGTATGCAGGGTGTTTCACGAAAGGTAGACAAATTTGATATTGCAAAGACTACGCGTCGCAGCAAAAAAAGAAAAAAAGACGTGTAGTTCTGGCCCTAGGCCAGGGGCCTATTTAGGAAAATTATTAAATTAAAATTATATATATATATATATACAGGGTGTCTCAGAGAACGCAGGCCAAATCGCTCCTGCGAAAACTACTCATCGCAACGAAAAAAGGCTTGTGGCGTTGTGGTCCTAGGCCAGGGGCCCATTTAAGAAAATTATTAAAGTCCGGGATAATTAACTTATTAATTATTTTTGCCTAATTAACTTTTTTAATATTGTGTTTAAGGGCATGGTTTAAATTAGAAAATTGCTCAGCACCATCCAAAACCACTAAACCAACAAATTGCAGAACGATAGAAGGCACGAGAAGCATTTTACGGCCTTCTGAAAAACCGCACAAATTCGACGGGTTTTTAAGTTTCGGTTTGCTATCGGAGCGCATCTCGGCCCCGGCAGCACCGCGCCGCGTGGAGAGATAATGCAACCAGACTCTGCTGCGTCGCGCGATGACAGTGCAGCAAAGGTTGGTTGCACTATCTCTTCGCAGGGCGCGGTGCCGTCGGGGCGGAGATGCGCTCCGATAACAAACCGAAACTTAAACACGTGTGGAATTTGTGCGGTTTTTCAGAAAGCCGTAAAAAGCTTCGCGTGCCTTCTATTGTTCTGCAATTTGTTGATTTAGTGGTTTTCGATGATGCTGAGCAATTTTCTAATTTAAACCATGCCCTTAAACACAATATTAAAGAAGTTAATTACGCACAAATAATTAGCAAGTTAATTATCCGGGTCTTTAATAATTTTCTTAAATGGGCCCCTGGCCCAGGACCAAAACGCCAGAAGCCTTTTTTTGTTGTGATAAGTAGTTTTTGCAGGAGCGATTTGGCCTCCGTTTTCTGAAACATTCTGTATATATATATATAATATCCCGCTGTCTTTGGCGATTGTAGACTGTGACAGGTTAAGAGTTCAGGGGATGCTCCTCCCATTTCTTTCCACTTTAGTAGGGCGAACGTTAGAGAGGGGGAAACTTTCTCTCCTACGTTCGCTCTGCAAAAGTGGAGAGAGTTGGAAGGAGCCTTCCCTGAACTCTTAAACTGTCACCGACTGTAGCTACAGACATATGCCAATAAGTCTACCACAATACGCCCGTCTTTGTCAGAGCACGAATGCGTTCTGATATCTTCAAGGTGCGGTCCCGGTGCGCATAACTTACTGAACTCTTCGCGCGGGAACCTACGCAGCCCAAGAAGAGAGTTCCTGTGGCCACGGTATCCCCACAACCACAGAGCCGGCTGAGCACGCCCCGCCCGCCGCTCAGGGACCATCGGCACTTCAAGTCGCTCCTGAAACCCGCCGGGGACTCAGTCGAGTCCCTGGAAGGACGACAGAGCTCCTGCTGCTCGCGCAGAACCCTCAAGGTAGCTGCGACGACCAGCGGCCTGAGGGACAGTTCCGTTCCTTTGGCCGCCTCGCTGTCAGAGCTGAGCACGAGTGGCACTGAGGATGGCTTCGAGTTGGACTACTATGATTACGGCTGTCACGACGTTCCGGGATCGTTCTTCAGCGCCCAGGTGCTCGGATGGCCGCCTTTCCTGCCCCTGCCTCCGGATGATGAACTGCTTGAGCTGCAGCTGCAGCATTACACGTTGCCTCCACCCGAGACGGACTTGGTGGTCACCACACACGTTAACGAGTCTGAAGAAGAACAGTGACCATGGGCTCCGCGGGGTCTGTAACTGACTTCAGCCTCGGAAAAGTAGATGTGGTATAGAGCGTGGGGCTGGCGTCTTCCCAGTCGTGTTAGCAGACGTGAGTAGCGCTGTGTGTCGTCGCGCCAGTAGTCAACAAGCACCTCAGAGAGCCTGAAGAGTGGAGGCGCTTGACTTCGGAAGTCTGCAACTGGTCACCATCAGTGAGATGCTAACATCTGCTCGTGTTGTGATGCAGGAGATCATGCCGCAAAGGACGCGACATCTCTATGACAAAGCGATTTTTTTTTTTTTTAAGTTGCTTTGGGTCTGGCGGGGCATTTTTGGCCTGGGCGACTTTTCTGCAACCAACATTGGGACACCAATAGGGTAGTTGTGCATTCACATCGTCATCCCCTTTTCTTTGTATATTTGAATTCCTCTTCTTAATGTTGATCAAAACCGAGATACCGTCGTCATCTTATCACATTTCTGCCTAAATGACCTCGACATAGGACCAATCATTGAACCCTGTATTTTATATCAATGCATTTACAATCAAACCAAAACAAAACAAAAAAGGCCAAGAGGTATTTTTGAAAACTTGATTATACACTTCCAAAGTCTGATGATCCAATGGAGAAAACTATTTTATATTGTAAATTTATTTTGTAATGAAAAAGTGGCTTGAGATGCGATTTCTACCTTATAGCATTATCTTATTCTAAAATTGCTGGTACAGACTGGTGCAAGAAAAAAGAGAACCCCATAAATGTCGCCATATTTCTTTCTTAGTCCGATCGAACCTTTCTGGGATCGACTGCTTTAGAGTTTTTTACCGCTCGCCCGACTATTCACCGAACTGCTGCACTCTTGCTTTGAGGGGAGTGCGATCATGTATCATCATCCGAAGCATGCACGGTGTTCGACTTTAATGAAATTCAGGAAACGACCAACTCAGCACGATGGCATGGTTCTGTGATATGGCTAGAACGACATCACTGAGAGCGCGCGAAACTACACTTTGTATCATAGGAACGTTTTAGTGAAGCTCCGAAGCTTGAAAAATTAAGCTATCCTCATTTTCACCTCAAGAAAAAAGGAAGTTTTGCGCAAAGTTCATACGCTGCGCGAAGTATAGTTCTTACAAAAATGGGTTGTCGGGGGAAGAAGCGGTGCTTTTGGCATTTGAAACTTGTACGTCTTGATAAGATAACACCAACTTAATCTAAAATGCAACTACATATATCTTAATTCTCCGCGAGGAGCCTGACTTTTTTTTACTACAGTTCATCAGGTGAAAATGATTATAGTAATACTCAACTATGGAGTACTCCTGGCATTTTATTTTCGTGCTAGCTTTTGTTTCCGCGGGGAAAAGGGCCCCGAACGAATTGTCACTGTTTCAAAGAACTTTGAAGTGAAAGCCAGAAATGATTGAGCTCGTAAGTTCATGTTTATTGTATATACTGTGTGTATATTTTGTATTTGGCGGTGTCACATGATTTGCTATCAAGCTACGACCCAAGCTTGCTTGACTGATGTTACTACGTAGATGCCTTAAAACGAGAAAAATCTTTAATGTCGTTCTGGGGGAGGCTCGTGGGAAATTTTGTATGTATTGTTGTTTTTGTTTTGTTTTGTTTGATGATTTGTTGTTCTGAGTTCTTTTTTGTTGCAACGGCTATCAAAGGTGCCGTCGCTTATAAACAGCCAGATTTGTATGCACACCCCCGGAGATTATGAGCCGGAGCACCTGATCTGGACGACTGCTGCGCTGACCGTCGCGACAAGCTCCATTCTCTCTCTTATTGTCAAAGAGTTCAAAGATTGAGAACTTAGCTTCGCGTTCCAAGTCACGTTTGAAACAAACCTCCTTTAAAAATTGACAGGAAAGTAAAGAAGCATGGAGGGCTGTCGCAGCTCGTATTGCCGGCGGTAGTACACTGAGATTAACTTCTGATTGAAAAAGATATAGCCTTATTTTAAATTCGCCTGATGGCATAGCAACCTTGAACAGCACCTAGTCGCGGAAATTACCCTTTTTTTATATATTTTTTAAAGTTTGAGTCCAGGAGTAAATTATTATTATTATTACTATTATTTCATGCTGGCCGAGCTGAGATAGGAGAAAAAATTCTTGTATAAACTTCGGGGTGAAAGAAAATTCACATTGTGAACAGAAGCTTTTCGAGGGAGGGCAATTTTGAGGTCACAACTACTGAATGAGTTCATCCTGACCTGACAGTGGCACTTTCAAAAGATTTTTCTAGTCTTTGTTTAAAGAAAAAAAAACGGTCACAAACCGCTGGGTGAAAGTATACACGTCATAGAGTTAGCGAACGAATACTGTAAACCTTTAATGAGCAATTTCTGCCAGGCTCTAGTCATGACGCTCTGCGGTGAATCGCACGACAGCTTCGAAGCATCTGCCTACCGAGACTCTTCATCGTGAAGGACTGCAGCAGCTGGCACAAGTGCGGGTTCAGTGTGTTGCGCGGAGTACCAGGGGTGAACTTTTAGTTCCAGAAACTCCGGAGGAATTTTGTTACAACATGGAAAAATAAAGACTTCTATGGAAGATCTGCAACGCTAGAAATAACTGCATGCGCACCAGTGTTTCTTTCTTGATTTTTTTGTTTTTTTGTTTTCAGATAACAGATGATTGAATCACTTCGTTCGTCACAGTCCTTGTAGCAGTCCATATGATATAACAAAGTCAAAGCATTCAGGTGATATACCCTCCCTTTCGTAACAAAATGACAATAGGATGAGAGAAAAACGGATCTTGTCATCGAGAATAAAATTTCAGAAGGTATCAACGCGGATGTAAAGGATGGCGAAAATAATCCCTGGAGAAGGGAAACAAAGGGGGCTAAGGACATAGCCCCCTTTGCTCCTACATAGCCTCGGATGCGCAAATACGGTTCACTAAAACTCTCTATTGTCTGCAGAGTGTCCTTGGTATAGGTAATGTGATCGCGGCTCCAGGTGCAGGTCTTCGTCCTCGTGTTTTTTTATTCATTCATAATGTTCGTCTCGCCCAGGTTCGGCTGTAGCCGGCCCTTATCGTTTCACCGAGCCACACCCCTCTTCCTTGGACCCCACCTTATTACAGGTCACCAACATCAAGCGGAGCGCAAGTTCGTCTGCTTCTTCTGCAGGCGTTCTGGTGATGTCGGAACGCCGAGCTCTGATTGGCTCTGGTTAGAAGGCTAGTAGGTAGACATCAAAGCAAGCTGCCTCGAGGTCTACCCCAGGGTGTAAGATAGACAGGTGGTGAAACGAGAGCCAAATGAGCGACCGAATTGTGTCCCCCTCGGTTTTCTCTCTTTCTGTGGCGCCATCTATGTGGAGTACCGCGAACTTTCACTCCGAGTGGGCGAACGCTGGCGACCGGCTAAACTGACGGAGAAGGTTTCTCGTGGATTTTCAATGGAGGACTTTCGTGCTCTCAGTTTATTTTGCGCACTCTCCCATAAAGTGCCATGCAAATTCGATTCCAATTTTTTTCTTCTCGCCGCAGCGCCATCTGTCGTAAATCGGGGGTACCCGCAAGCCACCCGCAAGCAGACGAGTACACAATCGGGTCACGGCGCTGCGGTAGGTTTCTATGGGCCGTTTCCCCACCTGTCTATCTTACACCCTGGTCTACCCACTGTCCTTCAATCAGAGCTCGGCGTCTTTCTGACGTCACCATGACCCCTGCAAAAGAAGCAGACGAAATAACTTGCGCTCCGCATAGCAATTGCCATGACCCTAAAAATGCACAAGGTGCATGAAGGCACCTACCGCAGAGGGTTAATTCATGCATAACACATGCGACAGCACAACGAAGGGGTTAAACAACGCTACGTCCGCGTTTATTGTTCAATATACATATATATACAAAAGAATTGCGACGTTGTTGTTGTTTTTCTTGTTTACTACGGAGTCCTTCCTAGCACGAGCACGCCCACCACAATACACAGTTCGGCGAACGCGGGCAGTACGCTGCAGAACGCGAAGATCCACCAGTAGCCCGCGCATCCCCAGCTCTCGACGACGTAGTACGCCAGCGCGATGCTGGCCGCGCAGTGCGCTGCGATCGAGAGCAACGCCTGACTCGGAAAGAACATGGAGATACCGGAGAAGAATCCGACGAGCTCGAAGACGACCAACAGGATGGCCAGCGAAAGTCCCACGACGATCTCGGTGTCCTTCCTGGCGTAGTCGGCGTCGCTGAAGCCCCACGGCAGGCAGGCTCGGATGTTGTCTTCGCGCGCCCATAGCAACGTCACTAGGAGCACGAAGTGTGCGGACAGCGTGAGAAATCGGGCGGGCACTAAGGCATCGTTTCTCATGTCCTTTCGAGAATGGGCAAAAGGCAGTGCGTTGAATTAACTGCTTGCCCGTGCGGTGAATGGCGAGGACAAGACGCGCACCGCAAGCCCTCAGAAAAACATGGTAACCAAGGTAACCATGGTAAACAAGGTAAAATAAACTCCGTGGAAGCGTTACCGCTTACACGAAACGAGCAATGGCGAGTGCGTTTGGAAGTTGGCGTCAGATCGTTCAAGACCACATGCAGCAACTGTTTGGAGCGCATGACGATAGACAAGACCTCGAAGCCGCCGTGACCGCCGTGACTAACGACATCCCACGAACGAACGATAATCATCTGTCAATCTTTCAAAAGGCCGCCAAAGTTTAAATGGATATAGAGGTGGGGCCGCGCCTCTTGCAGCCAATCTTGTGCGAGCTTGACCGTCGCGTCGCGTCTATTCTAAAATAAATGTTCAAATAAAAACGCCGTTCATTACAGAATAATTTTTAAACAAATATTCTAAATAATATAATATAAAAATAAAAAAATTAAATGCTAACTTATAGTTGAGCCGTCACAACAGTCCCGAAGAAAATGGGGGTGCGCTTTGTGATGCTGTGATTCTGGACACTCAGTCGACTCGGTCGGTGTGCTCATCGAGTTAAGTCAGCTGTTCGCGTCGTCACGGGGAGCATCCCTAAGTTCAGTGACTTTGTCGCTTTATTGTATGCTACTTGGCCGACTTCTCTGCCTGCATTGCGTTCTCGAGCTGCGATCTGAGCTACAGTCGTCTTGCAGCACGCACTCTTCTGCGGTAAGTCATACGCTAATTTGTTTATCACAGACGAGGTACATACTTCTTTGAACCTGTTTCACGCGCTGTCACCTTACGATGATAAACTTGTGAATTCAAAAGCGCAGCCACACGCACGTTCTTACGCTCGCCTACTTACCACCGCCTTCTGCGCTTGCATTTGGCAACAAAAACTTTGCGGTCGCCTCGTCGCACATGCCTTCAGCCCAACTCCCATGCTCGCCATCGAGCCGCTTTGGTCGTTAAACAGCAACGTAAGCTTCAATTTGCTCTGACGTGTTAGGAACGGCGTGCTAGGTCTTCGGCCGTTGGATGGCACGGCTTAATATGGAGTGCTGAATTTTGTCGAAGCACGCCAAGGTAAAAGAGTGTATAAAAACGCCGCTGTGTCCACTTGTACCTCTATTCCTCTAACTTCACGCTTCGTCAAAATTCAGCTGTCCGCTTTAGCTTTAACAAATGTGAACTAACTAGCTCAAGAGAAGCCCTTAACGTAGATGGCATAGTTCGCAAAAGGGGCTGATAGGCAGAGGGGGGAGGCACTCATCGAATGACGTTTTAGCGAACGCCCAAGTTTCATCGAATGACACTTTAGCGAATAGTCGGACGCCGCGAAGCGGCGTTTTCGGGTGGGCCAAGTGAGTTCATATTTTTGTAATGAGTTGCCGCAGACTGTCGCCGCGAAGCGGCGTAAAGCGCAGCGCGACGGATGGGTTAACGCGCGCCCCCGTTATTCGCTAAAACGACCATTCGCTCAAATGTCGCCGTTCGCTAAAATGTCATTCGCTCTTGTGATATGGACCCATCGAATTATATTCCTGCCAGCTTCTGCGACCTCGGCTGGCACAGCTGTATGTCGGCCGAAGTATAACGCATCGTTCATCGGGTAATTTGTCATTGTCTTGCATTCAAGAATGTCATTTAGCGTTGCATTTCGTAAGTAGCGTTACTAATATGTTTGACAAGCCTGGCAAGTAAACAAACGAATGCTTTTTACTGGACCAACAGCTGCCGCTGCCAGGCATTTATAATTTGTCGTCATCGGATAATTTCTTTGAAATAGTGATTCACGTGTACAACTTAGTCGCCCACGCGGCAGTGTGGCGAACAGATAGTGCGCTATGTAAGTACTCGTGATGCTTCTTGACATTGTGAAAGCTCAATTTGAACTCAATTTCGAATCACTGTGTGAAGGCTATGGGCTCCACCCTGAATCCACTTGTTGCAAAATGGGGAGTGCCCTTCGCGGCCTTGAAAGGAATTTCGGGAACTGGCTGTAGGAACCGACTGTAGCAGACGATGAAGTCGATGCCGGCAGGCGAGGGCAGTTGCGCAACTGTGCTGCCATATCTCTCTATTGTGGTGTATGTTGTGGTGCAGGACATTCCCATCATTCACAGTGCACTTTGCACACAGCCTTTGAAGTGTTTTACAACCGATTTATTTGTTTGATTTGGGAGGCTTGTGCAATGGAAACACTCTTTGAATTCAGTGAGGTTTCCCCTTGTAGTTTTTGTCTGGAAAGATTTTTTTTTTTTTTTTCAGATTTATTTACATTGTTAATTTTTGTCTGGCTGTGCCTGTTTCCTTCCCAAAACAGGTAGCTGCAGAGGTGGTGCGAGATGCGACGATGACAAGCATGGGCATGACGAAGGAAAACGGCAACTCCGCTGCCAACGGGCCAGCCACTGCAGCTTTTGCCGGTTCTGAACGACCACTGACATCAAAATGCAACGGCGCGTCGTCGAAAGAGGCAGCGCCGCCAGTTCTGTACTACGGGATTGCCCTCGGAGCAGGCACGACAACATGCGATGACGATGGTATATGTCAAGTTCGTTGCTTAGTGTTTACTTACTCAATTAGTTTTTTTTTTTTTTATCCACATGACATGGCTATTGTTCCGTGTTTTCCGAAAAACTTAGAAAAACACTTGACAAAATTGCCTTAGATTTATTCAAGAACCTGTAATGTCCCAATACAAAAAAAAAAAAGCAAAACTATTTCTAATAAAGTTTGGTTGGAGCATAGTTATAGAACATAAGGTTTCATAAAAGGGGGGTGCATAAAGGCTCCTATGTTACATCCTTTTCCGCTCTACCCCATGCAGCCACGGGGTGTACAGTGATGGGATGGGATAAAAATGAGCTTCCAGCAACTACCTCCAGGGAGGTTAGGGTTTTAAGGTGTAAACATTTATTATAGCAGCACTTGTTTGGAAGTTTTGTTGTAGATCAGATTAGTATTGCCAATGGCAAGTGCGGCAATGTCAAATGGAAGTGAGGATACATTAATTGACACAAGTTTTTTTTTAACCTGGCACATGTTTACACCAGGATATGATATATTCCTATTTTTGTAAACTAGGAAATGCTACGAAATTCCGAATTTAGGAAAATTGGGAATCTTAACCAGTACCTCCAACACACTCTAAATTTTGGGCAAAAATTAAAATCCAAAAAACACTCAGAAATTTACAAAAAAATTTTGAAAATGCAATATCCTAGCTATAGTACATGTTTCTTGTTGTTTTGCAGTCTAACTACAGGGTAATGTTTGAGTGGTCGTGCGTCGCTCCTTGTCGGCTGTACGTAGGTGTTCAAACTGCAGATGGTGCTTGTTGCTCTCGTACAACAAACGAGCGTGTCAAGTTTGGATCTTTTCAAAAAGTAACCAGGAGTGAAGGTTCCTAAAGGTATGAAATTGAGTAATCACTGATGCAAATATAACTACCGCACAGACAACATCTTCTGCATTTTTTTTTTTCTGCTTGTTTAGTCATTGCACAATGTCTGCGGCACCAAGACAAGACCGAATTGTCTGACGAGGCCTCGATGCCGCTTAGTAAATGAAATAACACAATATTTTCTATAAACTCTATCGACAGGCAAGCAGAATATTGTACATTTAGAAATGCTTCAACAGCAAAGCAAAAAAAAAAAAATCAAAACATGTTGCTCAGGCAATTTTTAAGGTTTAGTTTTCGTGGGGAAGGAAAAAAGTGTAGCACAAATGAAGAGCTGTTCCAGACATTCTCAGTGGAATAGATGCAAACTAAGTTTCTTGTGGCAGCCAAAGGTCTGCCTCCCAAGAATTTTATATTTACTCATTGGTGGTTCCCACAGTAAGACATTTATGCTTTCATTTAGATACTTTTTCTTCATCGCTGCTGTAATGCCCCTCGTTACAGAACTGCCACTCGTCTTCGCGGACCGTACCTTGGCGCTGCGGTGCGTCAAGAAGTATCGCGGAGCGCGGTTCAAGACCTTCTCATCGAGGGAGGAAGCTGCACAGTTTAGTATGCAACTTGCAGCGGTTCCCGTGGAGACCTCAGAAGTGCCCGCAGGTCTGCTCAGTACTACATACATTCCAAGGGTGTCTTAGTTCTGCTTCTAATTATATGGGGTCATCGGTTAACTGTGACGAGCCTAAACAGCTTTCGAATCAAATTTTAGCCTCCCTCAGCTTGGCATCATTATAGTCTATAGTCGGTCATTGAAAGCAGCACAACCCTTTTCTACAAAGCCCTTTACCCTTTCCACTTTAGCGGAGAAAATGCTGGAAAGGACTGAACTACCAGGGGTGGCAAGCGGAGAGCTTTGTGGGTGGGGTTTATCCCGCCTTTTCTAACCTGCAACAGACTGTCATGTGCCCCGGTTTTGTAGAGATTTCTTGGGCATTCCTCGACAGTTTTCTGCCACGCTTTTAGGCCTAAAGGAGTCTTTGCAGGACGCCAGTGTTTTTGATTGTGTTCAAGGTACAAAGTTTGTTACCAAAAACGTTTTTCCCCCAATTCCAGTCCTAATGGGCGAGAAAAGCAGTCCATACAGAGGTCCAAAGTCTCAAGACCTGGTTTTGTTTCGGAAGATGATCGAAGCCGGCAACGCCGCGGCTTTCCAGCAGACGGTCTGGTCCAATCCACGTTACCTCGTCAGTGGTGGCGACACTCCGACCATCGTTCAGGTGTGTGTACTCTGCCGCGGCTTTTTTTTTTTTTTTTTTGTGCAGAATGCATGTTTTTTTTGCGAACCGTGCCATGTTTACTCTATTGTAGTGCGACCACATTTGTAACGAAAAGGTCAAATTTGCATGCTGCCCTGTGGGACAAAATAAAACCCCGAATGCAAAACAAAGCTAACTGGGAAATGCTAGTGTACCTTTACAGTGCTTCATTCGGTTCGGTTAGAGTGCCCGACGGGGACGACAGTCGTCAAAGGTTAAAAAAAGTCCACATGCCAGACACCCCACTCTAGAAGCCACCGTGGCTATCGTATGAGGTTGGGGAATTCCTTGGAATATTACAATGTGTATGCCAGGGGTCTCCAAACTTTTTGACTAAAAGGCCGAACGGGGGATCTGTCGCTCTCTCTCGGGCCAGAAAATAAACAAGTCAATATAAATGAGGAAAACTTGCATATCGTCCTATAGGTAAGCCTTTAAATAAGAAATTGAAAAGTGGAGTAAACATTAAAAAATAAGAATATAAGGTGGGTGAATTTATCTACTTTATTTATAAATTTCAATATTTAGCTAATTATGACGTTGCACGATAAATAATCGGGACCCAGAAAACTCGCCAGGCATAAACCAAATCGCATAGAAACTTTGGCTGTTCCGACAGGGCAGGAGACTAATGAGAATGGTAGAACTGATGCTGACAATGCAATCTATAGACACAACAAAGGACACCGAGTGACTTCAGCTTTTGATGCTGTTTGATTGGTCTCATTGGCTCGTAGCGTTTGCCGAGTTCGGACTTTAAGGTGAAACGAAATATAGTAATGTGCGCCTAAACGAGCTCTTCTTTCTTTTTGTCTTTTTTCAATACACAGGAGGGCTTTCGCTACAACGCGTTGCACGTGGCTTCGATGAAGGGCCAGTCCATCCTGGTGCAACTGATTCTGGAGACGCTGCAAGACCTCAGGTTGCTGGAGCTCCTGTACACCGATGACGCTCCGGACGTTCGTCTTCGACGCATGGCCTACATTCTGGACCTGTACCTGAACACGCCCGACAAAGGGGTGAATGCAGTCGGCTCTTGTTCGCATTTCTCGGTTGTCCAGATCAATATCGCAGCACAAGACCAGCTTCACCCCTTAAAGGGATGCTGAACCGAAGTCTGGATTCCACAAAATTTGCGGCAAAAGCGTGCAACGGGATGCTACAAACACCAAAGCATAACTCATACAGCGATATCTCGAACGGATGACCGTATTTTTCAAAAAAAGGAGGTGCTTTTGACAGAAATGTTTTTGTCTTGTCTTTTTAAGGAGAGGAAACGGCCTCACATTTTTTATGCCTCGCCGCCTTTAGGGAGCGAAGCGAAGAGAGAAGGAAACAAGATACAGTCGAACCTCGATATAACGAACTTCAATGTAACGAAATCCTCGATTTAACGAAGTATTTTTATTTTTCATAATTTCTTGCCCATAGACCCCATGTATTTTTAGTCTCTATATAACAAAGTCTATTTTGCTGTTATTTCAATATAACGAAGCGCCATTGCCATAGAAGGCAATAAATCAATAGACTCTAAAAAACAACTTCGCAAAAAAATTGTGGTTAAAAAAAAATTATTCACAAACGCGAGCGCTTGATAGGTTACTTCACGGGGACAGGCCTTCCAACGTTCCTAGGCTGCCCGAGGATGCCGCGCCGGTAGCGCCGGCGAGGCATGCGGCAAAGCGGATTCCGCGGGGCTGGCCATAAAATGCCGAGCAAAAAGTTAACACGGCATAACAGCATCACCTCTGACATTCACTGATCATCATAGTCCACTGTACCGCGGGTAGCGCGGGAGCCAACTTCAGCGGGGGAGTGACGTGATGGCGCGACCTAGAGTTCCTGTATAGGCTCCCTACGGGAGCCAGAGTTGCGCATTTGTTTTCCCAGCGCCGCTATTCGCCGAGATCCATCGCGTGAAAAGCAAAGCATCCGTTGGCGTGCAAGAAAGCCACCTTTACGGTCGCTCTGCCGACGTTTCTCTTGCCCCGGCGTATGTTTCCCTGCTTTCCGCCTCCTTTTCCTCCTCTCCTGTTTCCCATGCACGGCAGCGCGCGCAGCGCCGCTATTCGCCAAATTTAGTCACGTGAGGAGCAAAGCATCCAGCTCGTGCGGGAAATCCGGCGTTACGGCCACGCGCCGAGGCTGAATGCGCAACTCTGCTACCGTAGGTAGCATATACAGGAACTCTAGCGTGACCGCACGGGCAGGGCCATCTAGGAGAAGACCGAGAAGACCAATTATCGCTGGATTATCGTCTTGCGAGCGTGATGTAAAGCAAAGGCGCAAGCACACTGTGGGCGCAAGGGGGCAAGTAAACTGTGCGGGCAATAAGGCCCCGGGCAAGAGTGCTGTGTAGGTTGGAAACATTGGCACCGCCTAAACTAAACAGCTTTATTTTTCAACTCGGCGGTTCACTTACGTGCTTGCTGCCATAGGGAAACGCAAAGTTATTTCTTTGGATGAGAAAGCAAACGTTTTGGACGCCATCCTGAAGAAACTGCCAAGATCACGAGCACTCGGGAAGTGCTCGACGCAATGGACGTACTGAGGAGGTACACGGCGTCGCATGGGCAGCAAGATGCCGTGCAAGCGCTCTGGCCGCTCGAACGCCGTATGACGCCGCTGCTACTGTCGGACAAGGCGCAAGCAAAACTCGCGGACTACTTTGCCCCTAAATAAATGTCATTTTCGGTGAGTTTTCATACCCGTGAAATGTTTCGGAATTTGATTTTTGCATGCTAAAGCCAAATTTCAATTTAGCGAAATTTCAATGTAACGAAGTAAATTGCGATTTTTACCGACTTTGTTACATCGAGGTTTAACTGTACCTTAGTGTCACGCACCTCGTCCACATTGTTCAATCTCGACCTCTTTTTTCCAAAATAGGCTGTCCATTCGAGATTGTGTTTTACGAGTAGTGTTGTAGTGATTGTAGTGTCCCGCTTACAGCTCCTGCATTGTTTTCTGTAATCCAAATTTCGGTTCACCATCCCTTTAAGTGGGTTTTTATTCTGGGGAGGGGGTGAGACCATGCTTTAGGGAATTTTACTACTAAGAAATCTTCAACTTGTGAAAAATTTGAACTGCTTTGTTTAATGTAAGGGAATAACATGTTGCATCCTGTGCTGAACTACAGAGAGGGGTAGACTGCTAATTTTTACTCATTTAATTTTCTGTAGTAGGTCATGGACTGGTGTTCTGCAGGTGAATTTCTTAAAAATATGCTAGGCTTTGTATGTATAAATTCCCTAGGTTTTCTTGTTACTGAGGTTATACTCATCTTCGTGTCATTGTCGCTGCTTCCCTGAAGCAATGCCAAGATTTCAGCATCTGTCAAAAGCAGTATTGGTATGGTACAACAGTCACGAAAGACCTTTTAAGAGGATAGAAGGAACACCACCGTTCCGTCTTTCATCGGTGGGGTGGGAACTCGTTACATTTTGTGAAGAACTGCAGAAGGAATGGGGTTCCTTTTTTTTAGTTCATATCGTAGAATACTGCACATCCGCCTACATATTCCCAAATTTGTAAGATCTGAGAAAATATGCACAGTACGTACATTGATATGTAAAATTGATGACTGGACAAGCACCCATCCCCCATTTTTTTTGCGATTATCTCTAAATTTTTAGTTGGCACTTGCTCAGTATTTTATGGTATATCTGGTTTTTGTTTGAATTTAGTAGGCATTTAGACTTTTTTTATCATCAGCTATTGCAACAGGGGATGGGCAAGTGCCTGAGAGATGGTTGAAAACAAAGAAGCAATTGTGTTTGTTCGAGCTTGCTTTATTTTGAATTATCCAAAACTCTATTTCCTTAGAATACGCCAATGTAACAATCGGGGATTTCTTTGTAGCATCCAAAGATCCAGATTTTCTTTGTCTTGAATCGACAAAAGTGTGGAGAGTACATGCTTGTGAGCACAGCCCATGGGCATTGCCATCTTGCTGCTAGTGTGTGTAGATCGTCTCTTAGTTGAGCCTCGCCAAGGCTTGTTCACGGCTGCCAGACTGGCACCTAAACAGAGCATTTTCCATCCACAGTGTCCAGACTAGCTTTTGAAGCGTGGCTGCTTGCAAACTTTTATAATCGGACCCCGTTACATGTCCATTTATTGAGTGTCTCTTGTTGCTGCAGCGCTGCGAGACTCCGCTGCATTTCGCCTGCAAGTTTGGCCACATTGGGGCCGTGGAACTCCTGCTGGCCCAACCCCTGTGCGACCGCAACGCACTGAACAAGTTTGGACAGACTGCTCGACAGGTGAGAATACCTTTCAAGTTGAGAATGCTTCTGAGAGTGCCTGTTGGGATGAAAATACTTGTGAGAATACCCGTCAGGGTGAGAGTACCTGTGAGAATGCCTGTTAGGGGTGAGAGTACCTGTGAGAATACCTGTTGGGGGTGAGAATACCTGTTGGGGGTGAGAATACCTGTTGGGGGTGAGAGTACCTGTGAGAATACCTGTTGGGGGTGAGAGTACCTGTGAGAATACCAATCTGGCTGAGAACGCCTGATGGGTTTTCTTACCCTGTTGGGTATTCACTAACAGAACGAGAACAGCAGGGCACCTCTTCGAATGCCCAGTCTCGTTGCCTTTCGTTGCACTCCGGCTGCACATGCATGTTAGTGGCTCGTTAAGATGCTGAAGCGTTATTGCAGGTAGGAAGCTCTCACTTGAGATGGAACAACTGAAACTCCTCTTGGCCGTTCTAACCCTGTCAGTGACCACAGAGTTGCCTGTCGTAGTAACAAACGGTTTGAACGTTATATCCTCGGCTGTGGTGCCCTGTTGTCGGCTTTTTTGCGTGTGCCTGCATGTCGAGACCCGCCTTTACGGCTTCGGTGTTGCAACATATGACGCGCGTGTGCACGCAGTACGCTGCAGGTACGCCCGCACATGCACATGCATCGAGCGCTCCCGAAGTGCGCAAGGGGCCGGGCAGTGTCGGCCGCAGGCGCTGAGAGTAGCGTCGTAACGTGGACAATGGTCCCTGCCCATTCCGGCACATCAGACGTGGAGCTCTGCACGCTCTGCCTTCACCTGTTTGCTAATTATTTTTTTTTGTGGTTTTCTTAGTTTGCTGTTTGCCTCTGCGGAGATGGGGGAGGGAACACAAGGGTCTCGATGTGCCTCCATGTAGACTCGTCTGCTTTCGGCACCTCGGCCTTCGTAATAAGCGTTGTCGGCTGCTGATACACATCAAATAATCCGGTTCGAAATGCATGCAATCAGTCGGGATTATGTGATAAAAGCGATAATTAAAACAAAACTATTTCATTATAACGAGAGATTAGTGTATGTATGCTTTGAGCATTTTTATAAAGACAGCTTCTGTATGATCAATTTGAAAAGATTGTCATATGAGGAAGAAACATGCCTCGGATAGTGTTGCAAGTCATGTATTGTACGACGTATTAGCGGTGTGACAACAGAAGCTGCAGTTTGCCCAATTAATTTCGAAAAAACTGACCGGAAGTTTGAGAAGAAGATTGTGGTGGTGGATGCCTTTTGACGTTTTGTACCATTAAAAATTGTGCAAAAGGGCTGGCAGTCCTACCAACGGGTCGTTTTGTAGTAGTGAAAATTTTGAGGGTTTAGATTTCCAGCGTAATATAGTCGCAGACAGGATGAGAACTACAGAGCGGGCAAACTCGAGCCTTGAAGGCACCAAAGCGTCGTCGAAGGTAGGAGGCTTTCGCACGGGGGGCAGGATGATTGAAGCTCCTATCTGCCATTCTAATCCTGTTTGGGACTATGGAGGACTCTAAAACGTGCTAGCAACACACCGGCGATTAATTTCGCTTCTTGGTTAAGTCCATATTACAAATCGATCGGACTTGCAGCTGATTCCACGTCTTCTCATTTTTGTAGATGATCTGCGAGAGGAAAACGGATGCAGGCGCACAGGTCAAGAAACGGATGGACAATCTGTTCGAAGGTGCTCGTCGTTCTTTTCTTTTAAGGGTGCAGTTTCTCGGTACAGTTTTCTGTCGTAGGCGACGCACGCAAAACTGACTTCAGCTGGCTACCACGCTTCCCATCTTCTCGGTTTTTCTAAAATTGACAGATCTGGTGGTTTTCGATCACGCTCGACCAGTTTCTAATTGGAACCATGTTTATTTTCGCTAACTAAAAGGTGAATCGGCAAATTTCGGTCAATTACCAGCATTATTGTGACGATTAGCCTCTTCATTTTGTCTTCCTGGTCGCATACCTCGCCTGCACAGATTGCATTAGTGTAGCTTTCGTTTTGTTGTTTTGTTTTTTTGTTAACATATTTTAAAAGCTTAAAGAAACGCCCTGCATAGCACGGCACAATAAGAGGGTTCCCACCAACCCGAAGGCACGGGCACATTTGAGAGCTTGTTTTGGTTATCCGCAGACCACTTCATCGTGCCGATCATTCGCTCCGAAGACAACTCTGTGCCTGCCCTGGTCGGAGAACCTTTTTCACCCGAGGCCCCACCCATGGGCATTCGTTTCATGCTGGAGGGCACAAGCCCAGCTGGAACGAGTTTAGGTACCACGAGCCCTGGTGACAGGGGTGCACAGGTCAGCTTCGCAGCCCTGAGCCCGATCCTCGAGAGCAGGAGCCCTGGCAGTGTGGATATGAGCCCATTCCTTAACGTCAGGAATGCAAGGGATGCACCCATGTCCATCGTGGCAGCTGCTGGTCCCATGTCTCCGACCGAGGTGAGCCAGCTTAAGCTGGGTTTCGTGATTTGTTTACTTCGAGGTACTCTTAGTCCCTGTAGAGAATACGATAGAAGAGTAACTTCTTGGAAAAAAGAAAACAAAAAATAAAACTAAGCAACATGCACTTGTACAGATAGGACATGGTAAAATTTGATAAACAACATTTTCTTGCTGTTCAAAACAAATGCTACGACAGGTCAAGCACAACGATGCTCAGCAGTGGGCTACTATTGCACTGACACCAAAGCGAAACCATATAACACCCGAACTGAAGAAGGAAAAAAAGGGCATTGTGTTTCTGCTGTTTAATGGCTGTCACGGAAGTGGGGAAAATCTTCAATAAATGAAAATAATAGCCCACTCCGAGGCCAACAAAAATTACTTTAAAAAAGAGAATAGAAGTTCTAGGTTGGACCGATGGCAGGCGATAGGTCCACGCCCGGTGCAATGTCAAGTAAGGAGGCGACGACACGTGGATGGTCAAAAACAAAACACAAATTTAATAAGACTTAACACCAAGCAGTCGGTGGCGTGCGGCGACAAAGTAGGAACAACATAGAAATCACTTAGCGAACTATCCAAAAACCCTCGGGAGTACATGCACTAACATCCCGGTTAGTAACGCTAAAAACATTCCCGAACAACCCTCGATAAGACAAACTTAAAATTGATCAAACACGTTGGTCCTAGCCAATCGCAACATAGAATAAAAGTCTTATCTGTAGTCCAGACGCTGCCGAAGCCTGTCTTGGAGTCCCTGGTCGATGAAGAGGAGTCGTCACGGGGTCTGGAATCTTCACGCTGTTTGCAAAGACGACCCGACGCGTTACACGTGCACGCACCGCAGTGCAAACACGCCCGAAGGCTAAAATAAGCTCAGGCCCGCAGGCAAACTAGGGTCACAGATACGTACAGAAAATACAATCGTGACTCAAAAACAAGGCAATGACGAGCGGAGTCCCGGCCAGCTCTGGGCACTCTTAACCCCAAAGACGAACCACTCTTTTTCCCACCAGTCCACGTCTTTATATTGAGACTAGCAGCATTTTCAGGGCTCGTAATCTGACCAATCAGCAGTGAGCTTCTTAGCGCCAATCACCGCTCTTCGTTTTAGCAAAGCAACTAAAAATACAAAAGTACAGTACCGAGAAACAATCCGCGAGAGACTTTGCCCGTCTGCGCGGCGGTGAACGCAATTTGAGATGCTTCGGTCAACAAGCAAAACTAAAATAACAAATACAACAAACCAATGCTCTCGATCGGCTTCGACTTTCGAAGAATGGAGACACCATCCAGCGCCCCCATGTCCTCTCTCACCTGGGGAGAGGGTTCTTCCGCCCAGTTTCATAAACACCCGCATGGGAACAGGCACGGCCGAAAGTTGACACCATGCATCGTGCACTGCTGGTGTGCCCGAGAGTTCTTACACAAAGCTTACAAAAAAAAAACGCGATTCGTGACAATGACCAACAAGAAAAAAAGCTTTGTAAACTCGTTATAGCATCCCCTGGTAGTAACAAAGATTTTGGTTTGTGGCAAAAGGAGTTGAGATTGCAGATACTCTTGCTAAATATAGATTTGAAAAAAGCTGAGGAATCGAATGTGTAGGGACGAAGACAGACAGCGCAGTTCTTTCATGTACTGTCCGTCTTCATGCCTACATGTTTTATGTTTTCATTGTTCTCAAATCGCCTTTACCAACCCGCTCCAAGTTAATATGTGCTTACTACAGACTTTGATGTAGATTACGACTGGAGCCTGACAAACTGGATAATGGAAAAGCACTGGATTATTGAAACCTGCGAACTTGGAAAGGTTGTGATTTTTTACTCAGCTGTACCGAAGATCGTCATCACTGCTTGCTTTAGGTCATGCGTGACTTGCCAGGCACAGAGTGCAGCGACAGCAGTTCGCAAAACTGACATCACCGGTACTAAACCAAAGCCGCGTAATGTCGGAGATATAATGACTACTTTCGAACAGTTTGCTGTAATAGAATGGGGAACTACTTGCAAACTTTCCAATATACACTTGAACCTCGATTTTACAAAACCAGATTTTACGAATTACTCAATTTAACGAACAAATTCGGATTCCCCGTGCAGCCTATGCCCGAAGAACGACTTTCTCAATATTACGAAGTTCCCGATTTAACGAAATAGTTAGCGGGTCCCGGTGATTTCGCTAAATCGAGGTTCAACTGTAGTCCATTATATTCGAATTGCATCTTATAACAGAATCTTTAATGGGCAAGGTTGGGTGAGTGGCATAGATAGGAAGATGGAGCAGCCTTCACAGGTCTGTTCATTTTAACCAAATGTCTGCTGAAACCAGATCCATTATAATGAGGATATACTATTAATGTTTCCCAGTTCCCTGGAGGCCTTGCAAGGAGCGAGGAATGAATGACTAAGCAACAACATTGTAAACCCCCCGCATTACCTTTCCCTGCAAACAGATGTCAGTTGCAAGCTTGCCCTAGCTACTCCACAAACAAATGGTATTCACCGTTGCAACTTTTGACCAGTCTGATTGTTGAGGAAAAGATTGAATATTTCAAACAGTCCTTGAAGGAGTGTGGGCTGAGAAAGAGTGTGACTGTTCGTTGCGAGTGATTCAAAGAGCAGTCTTCCGAATTGCTTCAAGCATGCTTGGAGCAAAATATTGGGACAGTGGAGCATTCAGAATTGTGACTGGGTCGCTGGAGCAACTCAGGAAATCGCTTCAATTTTTAACGAAACTTGTGCACTAGTAACGGGTCTGCTTGCAGTGACCTACAGGGCATTTCTGAGCACTCTTCGGGCATAAAAACGTTCTTATAATTAAACCAATGGACAGAATGCATCAAATCTTTTCACTAAAATGCCTTTGGGCGGTGCATTCATCATACTTACACTTCTCGAGTGTGGGTTTTCGGTAAAACAGTCATCACCCATCCCCGAGTCATCGCCCACCCTATTTTTTGGGCCAATACCAAATTCCAAAAAGAAAAACACTGAAGAATCACCCACCCCTTCAAATACCCCGACACGGACTCTACGATAGCTAACATTCATCCCACCCGAATGACGTGGCCGAGGATCTTAGTTGGAGGACGTCCGTGACAAAGTAAAACAAAGGAGGGAAAGATGCTTTACTTTGTTCACGCATTTCCTCCGCGACCGACCCCGAAGTCTTAGCCTAACGGAAATGAAATTGTCTCCACACAGGCACAGACGATGTATCACCAGTACAAGACTCGGCTCGGCAGCTGCCACTCCCTGATCCAGACGGGCATGAGCCCAAGTGCCAGTGGTCCGAGTCGTAGTGTCATGGATGTCAGCCCTGTCCACTTGCGGCGTGCAGACTCCGAAAAAGGCCTGGAATGCGTCGGTCGGTAAGCGATCGTCGTAATGTTTTAAGCCGTCCTCCGCGTTAACTCGACAGTGTTGGGAGAACTCCTTTCTGCACGCGCGACGACCCTTACAGACGGCGGTACGAACTAACTCATGCACTGCTGTATGCTCTGTGGACCAGTCGTGGCAGTGCCACACGTGCGTGGGACGTTTAGCGAGGTTGGTATTTTCAAGTGAGGACGTGAATGCCCGCAAAGAACATTAACGTTAGTTGCCATTTGCGTCGTTCTAGTTTCATTTCCTGCTTCCAATGGGACTAACTGACGTCACAAATTGCTTAGCGTTCCTGCATGCTTGATGTGTTGCGTCGCACCTTTTCAGAAAGGTAGCTTGGCCACACGTGAAAAGATGGTGTATGCTCACCTAGGACTCCTACTTTTGTTTTTGGCAACTAGTAGGGAAAACGCTGCGCATTGCCGCAGAAAAGAGAAATCCGTGGTTTATTGCAGAATTGTCATGAAATATTTTTGTTTGGAATGGAAGAACGCCCATCAAAATCTGTGCCTGGTTTTAGCAATCGGAGTATCATACAATGCTGTATGAGTGCCCTCCTCAGCAAATCTTTCATCCCGTATTTCTAGATATGCATGAATAGATTAAAATATTTCAAACGTCGCCCACCCCCAGCTCCCATTGAATGTTTAACAGTAATCGGATGAACTGCGTGTTCCGTGGTATCGGCACTTGTGACAAGATAGTTCGTAGCGAGTTCCCTTATGTATAACGCACCGCAGAAAGGGAATTTGCCGTGTCCTTCATCTGCGGTGTTCGTTCCCCCGTCATGTAGTCGATAGAGCACTCCCTAATATTCCTCCCCTTTTCTCGTCTCCGTGGGTGGGCACCTAATCGCGACTTTGCAGTGGAACGTTGTCACGGCTGCATTTCACACTCGTTGCTCCGTTTTCTCTGCCGTCTGTCAAGTACAGTCAAAACCGTTTATAACGAACAGCGAGAAACGCTACGATCAGTTCTATATAGCAAGTAATTCGATATAGCAAAAACCATTTACCACGAACTTCCACGATGCACTCGTTGTAAGGCGATAGCTTCTCTTTCTTTCTCATTTCTTCGCTTCCGCCTTATAACAATGCGCTGGAAATTTTTTTGGTTTTTGCATGCATGCAGAGTTTGTATTCTTTAGATTTCTCCCCTTCCGAATCGCTTCTCTTTGCTTAATTTTGTTTGCAACGTGAGCTTTTGAAATTTTCTTTCTTTCCTACTTTTTTGGGAGGGAAGGGACAGGCTTGAAGATGATTTTTTGCACATTCTCGGAAGCCTTCCCGGGGGGAAAAAGTTTGATTTAGCCAATATGTTGTTCGTTATAAGAAGTACTTTTTACATGCATTTTTATTTAAATCTTTTGCGTGTTCGATATCGACAATAATTCGCTGTGTGTGGGTTCATTGTAAACTGGTTTCACTGTAGCAGCGAAGAAATGAGGAGAGGTCTCTCGTTTGTTTTACTCTGTGCATTCGCTGTGCATTCGACTGGCTGGCAGGTGTGTCGCGTACGGTTTACCACCTATCTGCTCAGCTTAGCACGTCACCCAGGGTAGTTTTCTTTATGATTCTTTTCTTCGGACACCAGGAGCATCGCCAGAGACCTGCAGGTGCCGTGGACGGAGTACTGGCCGTTTCTCGGCTGCTGGTGCAACCTGGCAACTCCCGAGGGGCTGGAAAAGCTGGAGAACCACCTGCGAGCCAGAAGGCTGCAGGTAGGCAATGCCCAGTTTTGTCCCTATTGCTCCGCATACTAGACTGTCTGCCAGCTCGCTTTTTGCGTTTGCCATTTACGCTATGGCAAAAATGTTGTCTGCCGTAGTATGAATGAATAATGAATGGGTCAAAATGTCTCGTTGGTGAATTACGGGCCAGCTGCAGTGCCGCGTCGAATCAACAGCCGAAAATGCTCCCACTTCAACCGAAATCGGACCCCAGGTCCTGACGGAGTGGCGCTCCAGGGAGAGGAACTCTCCATCACCCGTCTCCGAGGAGGGGGGCAGCCAGAGTCCGCTGAGCCAGCTGTGTCGCGCTCTGGACGGGCTGGACCTGGAGTCACCACGCCAGTCGGCAAGGCATCCCAGCCCACCTCGCTTTCCCAAGACCCGCAACATGGAAGGAAAAGCAAACCCCGCTTTCGGTGAGTTTTTTTTTGTCGAAGCGACGACCTTTTGTGGGAACCCCACGTGGACCACGTTCGCTCGTGTCGGTGTTGGTCGCGGCATAGCGGGGCCATGGAAGAAAGTGTCTGCGACGGAGTGCAGCTGTTGGTTTGACATATTGCGTGCGACCAGTGGCATTGTGTCGGGCGGAGTCGGGGAAGTGGCGTGCTCGCGTGATATCTGGATGAGACAGCCTTGGTGCTGAATTTTCCTGTATCGCTAAAGAAGGCCCATGTAGGTCGCAGATTGTACACGAGTGCTGCGCTGGCTTTCGGCTAAAACTCGTGCTCACTGATGCATCGGCACGAGTTGCATCCGAACTCTTGACGCAGCACTCTTCTACTCCGTGCCTTACGGTGCCCCTTTTCGGTGGTGCAGGAAAATTCGGCACTAAGGCTTTCTTATTTAGGAGTTGTTAGATAATGCCTTCCTCTCTCTGTCTGCCCCCTCCCACCTCTTCCACTGCACAGAAGGGTAGAAATTCCATATTCTTGCCATTGCACCTTCGCCATATTTAATGAAATGCCGAAGCCTGGCAATTTTTTTTTTTTGGTCTTCCCAGTTCTGTTGCTGCTTTTAAAGGGATTAGTCTCTTACCCATAGAGTGAAGAATGGAATGAATTTTTTTTTTTGCGTGTGCTAGTTTTTTAGGTTTTAAAAATTGGACAATTCGCACTGTCTTTTGTGCAACATTGCAGGAGGTACTACAAGGTTTCCCTTTGATTTCTGTCTTCGGGGCATGCAGCACTCTCTTCATAACTGTCGACTTTCAGAGGTCCGGTTTTGCCACAAGGGAGCACCATGCCCGCTTAGCATTGCTGAAGCTCGCAGCGAGCGATCCAGACAAATGTCTTCGCTATGGGGAGGGTGGCAGCAGAGAGGGATCGGTTTTGTTGACTTGCGTTATATGGCACCACAGATGCATGCTCCTTGTAATGCGAAGCTGTGGTACCCACAACCGTTCTTTGTAACTGCAGATCGGGACATCTGCATTTTTTTTTTTTTGTGATTACATGGTGGAATTGCGGTATTTGGGGGAGGTTGGTGCATTTTCTCTCACTTTTGCCAAGCAAAAACAAAGTAAAAAATACAAGCTGCAAATTCTTTTCACATAAAAATCGTTGCACTGCCCCTCTAAGGGGGTTGCCTCACAAATATTTTAAGAGTTGATGGAAAACCTTTTGTTTGTTTAGTATGCATGGAAAGACTTTGAATTCCCAGAGCTTTGGTTACAGCATAAATTAAATCTAATGTCTGGTTTGTGCCTTGCGGCCAGGCAACCCCGATAGGAACCTAGTGTTGCCAGCCTGCAGCGAACATTGTTCTAGCCACTTTATGTAGAGGCGTAGTTATCTTATATTGTTTTTTCCACGGTATGATGCCTTAAGGCTTCCGACGACGCACACAGCTGTGACAGAATCTGGCATTTCTTTAAAGGGGTTATGACACGCCAAAAATAAGATATGAGATAACAATACTGTTAAAACCCATGGTATGTTCTTATAATCCTGCTAAATTTGTATTAAAATTGGCTCGATAGTTTCGTGGATAAATCGATTTATGTGCGGATCCCTCGGAGGGGCCGACCGGGCGGAGCTAAAGGCTGGCTACGTAGCCAGCCTCCCGCGCGGTGTTCCTTTGCACGCACTCACAGACTTGGCTCTCTTGGCGTCTCGAGCTTCAGCTTCCTCGTTTACCTTCCGCGTTTTGAGCATGCGGTCCGTGACGATTACGTCTACAGCATCGCTCACCTTGTCAAAGTGTTCGACATTGATCGCAGCAGCGATGAGAGTGATTGTTATCAAGAGGTGTTGGAAGCTGTTCATTTTGACTGCAACCCGCTGGCGACCAGCTCCAGCGACGGTGAGTTAGGAGTGGTTTTGATCGTACCGCGGCGAGGAGAGCTTGGGCGGTTATGGGGGCGCTTAGAATGAGAGAGCGTTCATGGTCACGGGGTTTATGGGCACCATGGCGTGACTAGCTCGGGCAGTGTTACCTGGTAGCCAGATGAAAATGATAAAAATTCGTAAATTGATTATTGCAATTACTATAGCTTTAAAAATCGAGTAACTTGGTGTATACACTAAGTAGCCTATGAGCATTCCTTTTCAAGAATAAGCTATCCGTTTAATTTTCGTGTCATAACCCCTTTAAGGAACATAAATGGCGATTTCTTGATTTCTGATTTCTTGGCAGCACGATGCCTAAGGATTTTATTTTTCTTTTATGCTTGAAATTTTCGCACGTGAGTGTGGTGTCGTAAATGTCTGCGATGCATCGAAACCCATGTTGTAGAGTAAATTTATCAATGTCTATGTCTGTACCTCAACTGCCAGTTCCTGTACAATCATCTTCACCTTTGCATTATCAGGTCTTTATCCAGAGAGCTTGTACTGTATTGGTTTATTTTTACTGGCTTCAAAACTTTTTGAGTGCATCTGCGAGGTCCTAAATTGTGGTCCTAAGACGTCGCAGCTCAGCGAAGTTATGAAGCTTAGCTTTGAGCAGGCCTGTCCTGTATTGCAGCAGGGAGAGGCCATGCAAATGGCGACACAGAGTCGAGGTCGGAGTCCGCAGACGACAGCGACCTTCCCATGGCGGCACAGCGTTTGTCCCGGGTGCTCTACGATTGGGCCCTGTCCCATGACGAGGGGCCTGGCCCTGAAGCAGATCTGAGCAGCCAACTGGTAGACCAGGTAGGTCTTAAAAGTGGTCTCTGCCAGATTCATCTCTTGGACAAAACTAGGTTTCAGCAGTCTTTGGGTTCTTCAATCTCCCCTATGTGTCTAGGGATTGCACTGTCTCTGCTTCATTATACTCTAGTGTTGTGTGAATATTCAAATTTTCTAATGGTAGTTTTGAGTAGTACGCTATTCGATATTTGCTTGAAGATAATCTGCGTTATTCATTATTGCGAAGTTTGATGGCGGTCAATAAGTGTGCTCTGCAGTGTTGCTGCCCTGCAGTGCACAGGTGCTCAATTAGAAGTTCACTCAACAGGGCTAACCAACCTCAATTATGCAAAAGCATATGTTATGCAGCAATGTCTTACCAACCCATGTTCATCATTTGCAAATTTTTTTTTGTAAAACTTCAAATTTGAAAAAAGGATCTTGCATATGGCCAGCATATTTATAAATTTCCTAAGCTGCTACAAATTTGATGTTTGCATGCCACATTACATAAATGTAGTTATACTAAAGCTAACTGAGCTTAGAAGTGGACAAGTGGAACGTTCGGAACAACCGTCACGAGCAGGGCGTCGAAACGAAGCTCTTTTCGGTTTGGTTCAGGTTACAGTTTAAATATTAATGCGAAAGCGTTACCTTTTCTCATGGAGCGAGCAGGCATCATCAGCCACGCCAAACGGCAGATAAATTCATGAAGTCTCAATCTGAGACATCCCAGCTTTGAAGCCACACAAAACGACAAGTTAGTGAAGCTGAAGGAGGCCGCCGCGTTTCAATTAGCAACCCCCATGGCACTGCAAGCCCGTGCCGCCAGCACAGAAACAAGAAAAATCAGCTGGCACCCTTGGGCAGCGGCACGGCCGCGCATCAACCGATTCCTGCAGCCGGTTCCTGCAGCCATGCTGCCGACCTCACGGTCGATGTCAGCGCGGCGCAGCAACTTCACGAGGACGCGCGCAAGAAAGACATTCATGCTTTTGCATTCACAACTCGTAAGAAGTGCCTAGGTGTACCTGGAGCCTTTTTCGGTTCGGTTCAGGTTTACCTCTGGAACAGAAAAAATGGCGGTTCAAACCAGTTTAAACAAGCTCATCATACGGGTTCATGTTATGGTTCATGAAAAGGTGAAAAATTTAACCGGATATTCGCACACTTTTACTGCCATGAAGTGGATTACTATGGTATAAAATAGGGCCTCATTTATTGTTTTTGTTCACGAAACACAAAATGAAATACAGTATAGACCACTTACAACGTAACCGTTTATAGTGCAGGACCGGGTATAACGCGGCTTTTTTAAACCACCGGTTCGCCTCCCATAGAACTCCATGTAATTACATACCGCTTAAAATGCAGGCACGCGAAGGGAAATACTGGTTATAGTGCGGTTTCTCAAACAACCCGCCGACCGCACCGACCGGCGCAGCGAGCACGCTTCCCTGTGCAACTGCGCGAGCCGCAAGCCGCGCAAGCGGCACTCCTAGAGCAAGGCAAGGCGGTTGCTCGAAGAAGCGGGGAGAAGCGAAGAGAGTGGCTTCAGTTGCCATAGCGATGGAGGGACGCATGCATGTGTCGTTCGTCCCTGTGCTGCGTCGGAAACAAGCACAACGACAGACCAATCGCAGGTCGAGGAGAAGTGTTCGCGCGCGTTGCATGCCGGTCGCGGGCCGGCGGCTTTTATCCGCAAACATGGCGTCGGTTGTGATCGTCGACGTAGACGGCGTGGTGGAAGCTCATTGTTCCGCATAAAAGCGCTATCCTTGACTATGAATTTTCGTTGTGTGTCGCTGTGATAACCCAGCACGTACTAGAAGGGAAGATCCACCTACTCCTTCGGCGATGTTGTGGCGGCACTCTCAAGACGGCAGAAAGGCCCGTGTCGTCGTGTTTGTATACTTCGACTACAGTGGTGCTTTCTAAGCACTTGTGTTTTTGAACATCGCCCGGATTTCTTATAGACCCGTTGCTCTCGGGCAGAGGGCGCGAGAGCGTCCGCAAGACGCGATAATGTTATGCTGGCAGCACCATCCAGGTGGCGCTGTAACGTTCGATTTTGCACGTGTCACGTTCGAATGTAAGCATCTGTCTGCATCTGTAAACGTGCGATAACAAAACGTCTAAAAAAAAAGCTAAAATAAAAAAAAAATTGCGCTGCTCGCGGCCTCAGCGTCCCATTAAACATTCCTTTCAGCTTCATTATTTTATTGATCTCTTTCATATCTCCCGTGAGCCCGTATGCTTCACTTTACTTGATAGCGAAGCCGAAGCTATTCTTGCTAAAGCATGTTCCCCTAAACGATGCTCGTACTGCACGAGCGCGCGTGCTTGGCAGGGATACTGAAAGCCCGGAGCTCGCTCTTGTAGCCTCTGCTACGCTGGCACTTATAATGAAACGGAGTATAAAAAACTCTAGTGGGGAAGCGTATGCATGCCTGTTCGAAACGCGAGCCAAATATTCTATTTTGCTCGCCTGGAGCGCTGCTCAAAACTTGAGAGCTACGGGTCTATTGGGAGCATTCCATGCCTGTGCTCAAGTTGAAGGTATTACTGGCGCGTACCGTATAAAGGATGCGAATTTTCACGCGTTTTCATCTCCGGAGAAAAGTGATTAGGGTTAGCAATCCTGAACGCTCGCAACGTCCGTCCGCAACTCGCGACGCCGTTAAAAGGCTGCGCCAGGCGAAAGTCACTCATTTCTTTCAAAATGTGTGACACACTTGAGAGAGAAGTGTACTAGTCTGGTGAAATAAAGACTTTCCTCAAACTAAGCTTTATTTTTCATCTAATATAAAATAAATTGTTTTACAAAGGTAAGTTACCTCATGGCATGTATTTTGGCCTGAAAAATTGATGTTTTGGTTATAGCGCGGTACCGCTTATAGTGCGGATTTTCGCGACTCCCGCGACATACGTTATATGCGGTCTACACTGTATATCTACTGGAAGAATGGACGAGTATCTCTCCAAAACGGTTACATGCACTGGCAATATTAATTTTGCTGATGCGCATGCTTTACCCAAGAAAGGAAGTCCAGCTCGTTCTCGTGGCGTTGCACAAAATCCCACCGACAACAATCATCCCGGCAACAAGGGAACCACGAGGTAGGAGCACAACATAAGAGGGCACCTTTCCAAGTTAGCAGCGGGGATGAGGTGGAAGCCCCACGCCGGCGCAGCATTTCTTCAGTAACTGTTTTCTTTTGCCACGCTGGCGATGAAGCATGCGGCCTGTGAACATTCGTGAAAGGCCTGGGGTTTTCCATGCTAGAATCCCAGGAAGTTCTCAGACTTCCTCCGGGGCAGAACAGCAGATCTGCCAACGCCACCTAGAGCTGAAGGCACCAGCGCTCGTCAGTGAGGTCGCACGAGTTGGCTGGCAAGCGCCGTGGAAAAGTGCTGGACTGAAGGCGTCTCGCATCGATTTACCGACTGCATTTTTGCTGACACAAACATGTGTTTATAGGAAAAGCGGGAGTTATAGACATTTATATGACTGGGAAACATGTTTTACTCCGGAAGCAGCTTATTAGGACGTACAATTATTATGATATACAACTACGAGGTTGACGTTTCGAAAGATGGCTTCTTGTTTTGGGGGGCAACCAACGGGTGCTTAAAGGACACATGCAAAGGAAAAAAACATTTTTTTTAGACAGCTTAGATGGAAAAAGGGTGTCATAAAATGATTTTACAACGAAGAAAAAAATTTTTTAGAGCTATTTTTACGGCGCTATACGAATTTGTAGTTGGCGCTCGCGGGAGCCGCCGCTGGTCACGTGGTAGGCCCGCGCGCCGCCGCGCTGCGTCGTTGCCGCACGCTGAGCGTTGTGCGAACGCCGCTTCAACGCGTTTCTCCACGCCGCCGTCGCCGCCGCTGCACAAGTTCGTCTGCTTCGGGGCGCCGCCGCCATCGTCTGACCGGCGCGCAGGTCTATCACATCTGCTTGCGCTTTTTCAGGAGTTTCCTTTGGGCTCTAAAAGTTACTTATTCATCTTAGTTTTTTTTATACTTCAAACAAAGATGAATAAGTTACTTTTAGAGGCCATAGGAAGCTTCCGAAAGAACGCAAGCACCACGTGAATAATGAAGACCAGTCACGTGATAAATACGGACCACTTTTCCGCGGTGCCCGTGGGCGCCAACTACAAATTCGTTTTGCGCCGTAAATATAGCTCTAAAAATTTTTTTTCTTCGTTGTAAAATCGTTTTATGGCGTCGTTTTTCCATCTAAGCCGTTTAAAAAAAGTGTTTTTTTCCTTTGCATGTGTTCTTTAAGTTTTCTCTAGAGCGAGTAGATGCAAAGAAAGAAAGAATAATTGCTCCAAAACGTTATTGTAAGTGAAGGGAGCCACCAAAATGCATAACAGCAACAGTCAAGTAAGTGCAGCTTGCACATGTGTGCTTACTAAATTCATTTGTGGAGCTAATTAATAGGAGTATTGAAATTTGTGGGTTGATGCTATTTTAGAGCTCAAAAAATGTAGTGTGTTCAAATGTAATTTTTAGCAGAAGTAAAGAAGTAATTAAATGCAGACGAGCTGGGAAATGTTTCACAAAAAATAATTAATTTGATACTGGGGCACAAACGAAAAATTAAGTGCGAGTAAACAAAATAAATTGAGATTACTCTTCAAAAGAAGAGTATTAAAAAATTGTGGCCTGATGCTCTTTTGGAGTGTGAAAAATGTAATGTTCATATGTAATTTTTAGAAGTAAACATAATTTGAAAATAAACAAAGTGAGTTTAGGAATATTTAGCAGAGTAATTAATCAGACTGGGGCACGAGAACGCAGAAAAGACATCAGAAAGAGGGAGGGACACTGTCTAAATTAAAGTGTAAAGCTTTGATTGAGCTGAGTGCAGGCAACTTTGGGAAACTTAAAGCATAACTTTCAGTAAGGAACACATGTGTGGGAGCCTCATGCCCACAACTACCTACATTAATTTACACTATGGATAGAAGCTGTGAATACATTTCTCACCTTTGAAAGCTTCAAATTGTATCTTCTCTTGTATCCATGTTTTCTTCTTGTATGCATAGCTCGACACAATTCAAAAGCAAGCATCTTAGATGTCGTTTTGTAGCTTTCATGACATTGACTAGACAGTAGTTCCATTGTGAGCTTGGTGATGAGCTGGCTCTGGTTCGGAAAGTTCTTAAGCAACAACGTGATTGTGTCTCGCGGCATTGGCAACGAACATAGTTGCATAAATAAGCCCCCCTTGATTCAGTTCCTTGACAAGACAACTATGTTGCAGCTGAACCGTGGCTTGTCTACTTGTTTTTCAAGCTCCCTTTATCGCTCGTCTTCACACGTGATTGTCGGCAACATACTCTGCAGTCGCAGTCATTTTCACCTTCATAGAGTTAGTTGCCTTATAGATACGTAATATTTCGAGCCAGCCAGCCGCCAGTACTTCCTGAAACGGTCTTCCAATCGGTCGGTCCTAATATTTCCCAGCAGGACATAGGTTAGCCCGAGTTCAGTGAAGCAGAATACATTGACTCCTTAATGGGGGACACTACCCAAAAAAGTGAATGTTTGAACCACTTGTCTGATTTAAATTACATTTACAGGGCTTGCTTCTGTTGACGTTGAGAACACTTCTGCCAAATAAACGGCATTTCTCTAAACTGAGGCTCCGCTTTCTCCAAACCGAGCCTGTTCTCTAAGGCTTGTTTCAGTGAAATGGCATTCAATCAGCCGTAGTAACCCAAATTTGATGCTGCATTGTTCCCACGCATTGTTTTCTCGGTGCATCATCCCGTCGGCGCGTGGCGGTGGTTTTTTTGCCAGGCGCGTGGGCGCGACGGCTTTGATCAGGTCAGGCCGATTTTGTGACAGTCAGTAACAGCGGTTATTGGCCTTCATCTTTGTAAAATATGCTTACAAAAATATCTGCATCAGTGGGAACACTTTGCTCTGCAGCACTAAGTCTCTCGAAATTTCCGGCACACGGTGCACGGAATAGTAGCGCGAATGCGTTCCCGAACACTTTATCGAACCTGATCGGAACAGTTCTTTTGTTTTGCTCCGGTTCAGGTTCTGCTCCAAAATGGCGCCAAACACTTTGGTTCGGGTTCTGTTCCTTTTGGGGCAAAATAAGCAGTTCCGTTTCAGTTCCGGCTACAGATCGACACCCTGTTCACGAGTTCAACTGCATTTTTGTTTAAACATGGTGCACAGTAGTAAAAGGCTTGGAAAGACTATTCTATAATTAGATTCAAAAATATTAGGCCAAAAGCACTAAGAATTCGCTTCAAACTCAAAATCCCCCATTTGCAAAGGCTTATTATACACCCTGCTTTGTTTTGGGGGGATTTCCTTTGCTCTGGGGTAACCTGACCTATGCAAGTTGCAGGGTCATGACGATTTGAAATCTATGCTCGTCTGCTAAACTATGAGGAATGTTTCAAAGGTGAATGAGGTGTCTTATAGATGGGTAGTGCATCCTTTGCGCATGTGTATAGCGTCTTTAAGGGTGGCTAGGGGTTCCAGGCCATTACATCTGACAGCCCCCTCCTCTGAGGCATAGTTTTGTCACGTTAGTTAGCTTCGGACAAGAGACGTCGTCGCCCCGGGACAATCATCTTGTCCAATGACTGCGTTTTTCAGTGCTGGAGGAGCCAAAAGTTTCTGTGGACTGTTTTCAGGTTCTCAAAGAGCTCGACCAGTTGGAACAGGCACAGGGACCATCGCAGCTCAGCCGCCTGCACCCCGAGCTGGCGAAGCAGGTGTGGGCTTCGCTGCGCCTCAGTCTGGTGAGCCACGAGCGACTGGGGCTCTGCCGTGGTCTCCGGTCGCAGCTGTCCCTCTGGTCGCTGGTCCCTTCGCCCTCCTCGACGGACGACGAGAACGACGATGGCGCCAGGGCAGACGACTGGCGTTGCCGCAAGGTATGCGGGCCGTCGTGGGACCGCCGCACTTTTGCAGCAGAACCTTCGAGCAAAGACCACGAATCATGGTTTTTGTCAAACACAATTTGTTGCTGATAAAGCCCACGAATATGAGGGGCCGAATAGTGGAAAGTACCGGGAACAGGCTCGATTATTTCGTTAATTTTCTGAAAATCGCTTATAGCATTTGTTCTGAAGCTTTGTCATCCGATTTGGACCACCACCGCTACGTTGCAACAGAAACTGGCTGTTCGACGATCCATGCTGAAAAATGGCGTGGAAGCACCCACGTTGTACAAGGGCCCGCCATTATCATTGGGCAAATTTGGGAAATCTGCAAATTAGTATATGTTAGGCACCCAGCCCCTCTAAGACGAATATTCACCCCGTTTTGGTGGCCAAGAGACCACTGGCGGCAATGACGGGGAGTTCGCGTAAAAATGCTCCTTCTCAGGTTCTATTCACTGATTTGACCAAACGAAAATGTGCTTTCTCCATTCCGATTCACCGATTTGACCAAATGAGTGCCCGTGTCTAGATTGACCCAGCTTTGTGTGGAAGCGTAGTGGGCATGCACTTCCCTGATATCTTACGGTAGTCTATTTTTGCAACTAAGCGCCATGAACATTTTTTTTAGCACACCTTGTACTTTGTTTTTAAGGCACAAACTGGTTTTGTGTCGTCTAGCCATCCAAGCGGCGGCACGGCAGGGCCCTGAGGAGGCACCTGCAGTGCGTGCTCCAGTGCCTCTTCACTCTCGTCGACTCCGACGAGGATTCTGGTCCGGCACGCTGCTGCTGCACCTGGTCTCGGCTCGTGGCGGACCGTAAGGCTTCTTATCCGGATCGGTGAGTCCACTCACATTCCGCCGGAGTTTGTGAACACCCGGGAACGTTGCTGCAGTGTCTGGAACAGGTCTCCCACTGGTGTTTAGCGTCTCAATCCTCACATACGTTGAAAGTAAAAAAATTGTGAGAGAATGAGTGTCGTGCCATCCCAACTCTTTTGACTGCCGAAGCTTAACGTGGACTGTCGTGGAATGTCTAGAAGCGACGAACTTGTGGACTGTTGCAGGTTAAAAATGGCAGGAAAAGCTCATCCCCCAGCTCTCTGCTTGCTGTAATTGATGGTTTCCTCCTCTCTAGCATTCTCTCTGCTAAACGCGAAAGGGTGGAGGGCTTGGTAGGAGGAGCTTGACCTGTTCTTCTTGCATTGCAACAGACCATAGAGAGGAACTCTTTCACGTTTCTGTGGCAGGACATCTTCCACGGACGGCGACGAGGACCGTTTCTTCACCCCGCCCACCAGTCCGTGCTCTTCGAGCGACAGCTGCTCGCAGGCAGGCACGCCAGAAGAAGGGCCTACCGTTTTCTTGCAAGGGTAGGTACTCTTTTTTCTTTTTTTTTTTTTTCTTTTAGGCTGTCTTGACATTGACTTTGGACAGGCGGCACCAAGCTGGCCGAATTTGTTCATGCCGACTGTTTTGCCCCTGCTCTTTCAATATTAATAAGCATCGTACCGGTGTGTGGTCGTGTACTGCGTAATGTGCATTAAAGACCGCAGGCTAGCGGTGGTACTGCACCGGCTGCACATTGTCTACAACAGAGACACCGGATGCCCGTTGAAACTGTTTACTAACTGTCCGCTGTCTCAGCATGTACATGACAGAATTGTTTCCACGACTGAAGCTAGTTTTTTGAGTGTGGCACGACTGCTAGCCTGGCCGGGTTCTAAAGATCAAGATCGGTAGGGGCCGACCTCAATTCCTAGGTTCTCCCCAGTAGCAAGGCATATTAGGTTGGGCTAGGTGGTGTATGTTTAAAAAAAAAGCAAAATGGTGCTAAAATAGACGAAGGACACGCCTTTCAAATGCATCAGAAACCATCATTATATTTGTGATAGGAATGCGTAAATAAAAAACGATGGAACTGGGGAGATTAAAGGGATACTACAACGAAATTTCGGCGCTCATTTTTTGGTCTATATGTGTTCAAAGGAGCAGTGTCACATTGAACATACTAATATCTTGTTAAAAAAGTCTCGGAAAGGAATTTTAAAACGAATTAAACGATTAGCAAAGAGCACCTGGTGGATGTCGCTAACGCCTCGCTTGTAATGCCCGTCTAGGAACCTTGACAGCTAGTGACAGTGAGTGTCTCGCCTCCGGCCACGACGAGAGAAAAGGGGAAGGAGGAACTCCCCTCTTCCCGAGAATGCCTTTTGTATGTCGCAGAAGTCACTATTGTCCCCCTACAAGATTATAAAAGATTAACCCGTCACTCAAAATTCGTACAAAAGCAGCCGCTTCGATTGCTGGAACGACTAGGCCATCCTCTCGACGTCAGCCTCGCCGTAGCTTTGCTCGTCTTGAGACGACCTACATCACGATTGCGCTGGATGTCACGTGGTCTCCGCTGGGCCTTCTCCGAGCGCTTGCCAGAGTGGGCCGTTTATAACGAAAAATACAGCCACCAGGCTCAAAATACAAACATGCGATTGTCATTTACGGATATTGTGGATCATATTCAACCTATTTTTGAACACAACAGGAATATTTCGAATTTCGTTGAAGTATCCCTTTAAGATATGCACAAGCCAAACCTTTCATGTGCATCAAAAACCATCATCATATGTATGTGCCTCAGTTCTCTATAAACATTGCTTTGTCACTTAGAACGGTTGAAGATGCGGCGCCGACTCGTCCTGGTCGTGCACATCTGTAAACATAATAAAGTTATGTTTGCGTACCCCACGACTTTATCGTGGAATACGACGACGAGCGCCGCAATGATGCACTTTGGCACCACTCGATCGGCTCCGTCGGATTGGCTGCGGCCCGATTGGATGTGAAGCGGAATGAAGTTGGTCCTTGGTGCGTGCAGGTCTCAGCCAAGCAAGGTGGACATGGACGTGGTCAGGGCCCTGGAGCCTTACCTGTTGGAGCACGAGGTCCCGGACCCCGAAGTGTACCCCTGCACTCATCAGTGGTTGCAGCTGGTCCTCTCCCACCCCGCAGAGACAATGTCCAGGTAAGCCGGTCACGACACGTCCGCGCCGTGAAGACAATGGAACGAGACAAGCCCGCCCACTTCAAGCGCAGCGGGTGCGGCGATGTTGGTGTGCCGAGGTCTAACCGAGAAGATGGTGGGCAGCCTCAGTCTCTAGTACGGCACCCGGAATGTGTCTCTGACTGGCGGTTCGGCGAAGAAATTCAGCAGAAAAGCGTGGGAAGAAGCGACTCTCTGTCGTTGCGGTGCCGTAACTCCCAGCCGCTGGAAGCTTCGGTGGGCTGCCAAGTCTTAGACCAACCTGCAGTGGAACAAGCGTCTGCCACATGTACCTAGCGCTGCTGTAACACTGCCAGGATCACGGCTGGCGACGATGTGCCGCTTGTACGACTTCGACTTTGTCGTCATGTGGAAATTGAGCGACCACTTGTTAGGACACAATCAACGAACCAGTCAGAGACACGTTCTAGGCACCATAGTCTCTAGCCACGCCATCTCCAGTCGGAGCGTAGTCTGCTCCTCGCACAAAGGGAGCAGCTAAGTTGGCATCCGTTTTCTGAACGCCGACTGCAGGCATCGTCTGGTACTCCTGGCAATGGCCGTCTTACCTTTTCAATGGCTAGCGTAAATTAACCGGTCATTTACAATTGAGGACTTGACTTCAAAAAAGAGAAAAGATGCCTCAAAGAATTTCTTTTTTTTTTTTTTGAAGTGCTTTTTGAACAAGTATTGGATGTACCGTATTTACTCGAATGTAACGCAACCACAATTGTAACGCGAGGGGTGACTTTCCACAGCGCAAAAAAAAGAAAAAAAAAAAAAGAACTCGAATGTAACGCGAGTTAAGTGAGGGGAAAAAAGTACCTTAAAAAGTACTACAACGTGGTCCGCGGAAGCCTTTTCGGCCGGGTTCACACTTGGAGAGCACTTCATGCTGGAGCCTCCACCCACGGATAGTCGATTCTGTCACATCTACCCGTCGAGCCGCGGCAGAGTTTCCGATTTCCTCAGCCATCATAATCGCACTTCTTTTAAAGCGGGCGTCGTACTGAGCTCGTCGTGCCGCCATTTGCTCGAGTCCAGTCGCGGAAGCACGTAGCAGAAGCTCACAAAACACTGACAACACGGGCACATGGGTACGGTAACCCTAACAGAAAGAGAAAGCGTTGTGAAGGTAACCCGTAACCCTAACATGGGCGCAACGAGTCGCAAACAAGAATAGGATTGGATTGGCTGTTTCCATTGTGTGTATGTTGCCAGTACAAGATTGAAAGATCGCGAGATTTGTCGTAGACATTTTAAAGGGCCTGTGCTGCGACACCGCCAAGGCAAATTTTGAGGCGTTTCGATTATAACGCGAACCCCCAAATTAGGTAAGGGAAATTTGAAAAAAAACTCGCGTTACATTCAAGTAAATACGGTACTTCAACAAACGAAGAAATCATGGCCTAGACCAGGGGTGCACAACATACGGCCCGCGGCCCAGCAGCACAGAAACTCGCTTACTATGCCATTCTATCCATTGAGCGCCAGCTCCGCTTGGCAAGCAGCAGTGAAACCCTCTGACCTACTTCTCTGTCTTCGGCGAAGTAACTACGATTTCTCAATTCAAATTTTCCCTCTTCACTAATCCCACTGAGACACCATGGACAGGGACAGCTGCCACCATGGCAGCTGTCCCTGTCCATGGTGTGGATCTGTCTCAACATGTCTGTACACGAAACGCAAAAACTTGTTGCTCATTCTCAACAGATCCCTTCCATCTTTCACCACGGACGCTATCAACCCTCTCCCTTTTCGTTGGGACAGTTAGGGGTCGCATCGTCGGATTGGAGGACTGTGATCCGACGATGAAACTGAAGCTTATCGACCTCCAGTGTCCACCTGCATTGAAGACTGTTCATTGCGAATTTCAGCTGCACGAGTTTTCCAAAAACCTGAACAAGAACAAGGACGGAAACCTGGTGGACAACGCCTAGAAATTGTTGTCACACTTAGGGAGCACGTATGTCTGTGAGCAAACCTTTTCACTGATGACTCTCAACAAGAACTGCCCTCGATCTTCCATGGCGGACATGACATTGCGAGATGTGCTGTCGACTGCAACGAGTCAGATGACACATGATATTGGAAGCCTGACCGCAGCCAAAATGTGCAGCACGTCGCAATAGGTGCGGCCCGCACAGTTTTCAATAAACCAATTTTGGCCCGCCTAAATTTTTAGTTGTGCACCCCTGGCCTAGACGTCCTCTGCACTCCACCACTGCCAAAGAGCAAATGACTGCTGCATTGGTGGAACTTCGTCACGTTCGTTGCACCCATGGTCGCTCTTTTCTATGTGCTGGTTGATGCAGCGAGAGAATACTGCCGCCATTCCGTGTCGCTCTCTCTCTGCCATCGACTATAGTAGTGATTGCTGTCGCTACTGCAATTGTGACGAGGCCCACAACGAAACTGATACTTAAAAAGTTGATGAACAGATGTTAGTTGATTGAGCAGCTTACCACGATGGTTATTTCCCCGCCTAATGCCGACGGAGCTCGATTAATGTGTTCAAGGTGGCACTCGTGTAACTCTCGCCCCTCTTTGTTTTTGTTAGGATCTGTTTGAATTAAAATCGGGTACCCCGCACGTCAACTTACCTTCATGCATTTGCATCATTCCAGTTGGCCAAGTCCCTATGCAGCGAGGTACAGAAGCCGTCATAACCTGGGACTGCCGACCAACTCACCGCAGACAACGAGCAACGGCAGTGCTTCTCCTACTTTGGATCGAACACCACTCAGAGACGGTCCGAAAGCGATGCGTCCCAAGTCGCTCTGGAACACTTCCCTCGGACGTCTGGGTCCCTTGTGACAACGTCGCCCGGCTGCGCCGAGTCTGCATGTTTGCATGTTTGTTTGCCTAGTTCTTAGTTTGTATGTTTTCTCGTTTCTGGAAAATGTTCCTTTCGTTCGTTTGTTTGCTTGTTTTCTGTGCAAGTCATTTCTCAGAAATTTTTATATTTTTAATCGACAAGTGCAGTTAGAGACCTGCCCGCATCAATCCCCGCTTCCTCTTGACTCTTTCCCGATTACGGGAAAAGTAGAAAGTTTTAAAGGATCCGTGGAAATGCTTTTATTTTCCTAACTAACTTACATATGGAGCAACATGATGCGTCAAAATTTGCTTAATTAGTTGTTCTTTGAAAAGAAACGGAGGCGATTACGGGAAAAGTAGAAAGTTTTAAAGGATCCGTGGAAATGCTTTTATTTTCCTAACTAACTTACATATGGAGCAACATGATGCGTCAAAATTTGCTTAATTAGTTGTTCTTTGAAAAGAAACGGAGGCGATTACGGGAAAAGTAGAAAGTTTTAAAGGATCCGTGGAAATGCTTTTATTTTCCTAACTAACTTACATATGGAGCAACATGATGCGTCAAAATTTGCTTAATTAGTTGTTCTTTGAAAAGAAACGGAGGCGATTACGGGAAAAGTAGAAAGTTTTAAAGGATCCGTGGAAATGCTTTTATTTTCCTAACTAACTTACATATGGAGCAACATGATGCGTCAAAATTTGCTTAATTAGTTGTTCTTTGAAAAGAAACGGAGGCGATTACGGGAAAAGTAGAAAGTTTTAAAGGATCCGTGGAAATGCTTTTATTTTCCTAACTAACTTACATATGGAGCAACATGATGCGTCAAAATTTGCTTAATTAGTTGTTCTTTGAAAAGAAACGGAGGCGATTACGGGAAAAGTAGAAAGTTTTAAAGGATCCGTGGAAATGCTTTTATTTTCCTAACTAACTTGCATATGGAGCAACATGATGCGTCAAAATTTGCTTAATTAGTTGTTCTTTGAAAAGAAACGGAGGCGATTACGGGAAAAGTAGAAAGTTTTAAAGGATCCGTGGAAATGCTTTTATTTTCCTAACTAACTTACATATGGAGCAACATGATGCGTCAAAATTTGCTTAATTAGTTGTTCTTTGAAAAGAAACGGAGGCGATTACGGGAAAAGTAGAAAGTTTTAAAGGATCCGTGGAAATGCTTTTATTTTCCTAACTAACTTACATATGGAGCAACATGATGCGTCAAAATTTGCTTAATTAGTTGTTCTTTGAAAAGAAACGGAGGTTAATATGTGGGAAAAAGATTTTCAATTTATTTCTTGAAAATACAATGTTTGTGCGAATGACTTATAAACACCGAAACTTCTACAGCCGCCTTCCTTTTAGTGTTTGTATACGCAGCTGCGAAGTGCAGTTGCAGCTGAAGGAATCGCGGGAGACTTCGGTGTGCCTGTGAGAATGTAGGGGGTGCAATCACAGACGCTAAATGGCAGGACGCCTCCAAGCTGATGATTTTGTTCTTGCAGTTTGTTGACTCTCCTAACTCTTGGTTTGTCTTTGTGTGTGTGCGTGTGTGAAAATTTTACCTTTTATGGCTGTTTAGTAATTTATTGGTTGGCTGCTGCGTGACCTGCATGTATGCATACAAAAACTCAAGTCTTCCAACCATGCTATTTTGATGCTGTTCTTTCTCTCTCTAAGACCAATGCACAAATGAAGAGGGGAAAAAAAATTAATCTGGGACCTTCTGTGTTCAGATGAGGAAGATGTGAGAGGGTCTTTCAGCTGGGCTCAAAACTTTCCTTCATTCGTCGGATACGTCGAGCAAAGATGCTCTGTTTTCGGTACCACTGACAACTTTCTAAAAAGTGCTGTCCATATTGGAAGGGCAACTGCAGCAGAATGTTTGTCCCACTTGTTTACACACCATGTACCTTGAATATTTAAAAAGTGTTTAATGCCCATGTGCTGGCCCATACAAGGATCTGATTGAGGCAGAAAAGGTCCTGTCTGAAATCCTCTTGCTAGGATTGCCTTGTCCCCATGTAGTCGTTTTGTTTCAATTTGTGGCCTTGCAGCCTTCTGTTGCCTAGAAGAATGTATGTTCATGCAACTTTCTCTGAACATTTTGACCATCTGGTCCCCATGTTATGTCGTAAAAACAAAATTTCTTTGCTTTCCTGAAAAAATTAGAGTCCCAAGAAGTGAACAGAAATTTCTTCTTCCTCAACTTTCTTAGAAATGTAATTCAAGGTTTACTGGCACTTGCATATTGGCAAGCTGAAAGTTGTGTCCTTCCTTGTCCAGGATGTCCATTTCAATCGTCTTGCAAATGCAAGAATGTTCGAGCATCTTTTTATTGAGCCAAGCATGCGTTGAGAGCTGCAGCGGGATTAACTTATGAACGAGTTTGTGGAGAAAGTTTGGAAAGTAAATTGCTGGCTGCTGAGGAGTTTGGACAATGAGAATCAGCGGCTTAGGTGTGGTGGTGGGGGTTCAGAGATTCCCCCCCTCCCCCACCCCCACCCCACCCTCTCTATTATAAGGATTTCAACCACCTTCCGAAGAAGTTATTGACTACACCACTGTTGTGAATGCTTCACTTGGATTTGATGGCATGCTGTGAAGAAATGAAACTTGTTTTCTACCAGACCTGGGCTGACGCCTGTGTTATAGTATTTTTGCATAATGAGACTTAGTGCTTGATCTAGGATTGAAGTTGTCTCGTAGAGTAGGAGGAAACCCCCCCCCCCCCCCCCCACCACCCCCCCTCTCTTGGGGGGTGGAAATAGTTTTGCTGCAACCTCAACATTGTCAGATTGCGAGCGATGTTGGATATGCATGTTGTCATCTTTTTGTTTGTATTTGAGGTTGGAAAACACTGCTGAGCATCGAACAATAGATGGAAATAAAAATTTTAATTTATACAAATCAAATGCGTGTTTCAGTGTTTCGTTTGTTTGCTGTAGTGTCTCGGACACAATCAAGAAATGTTTGGGCTGCGTGTGCAGTCGTTGGTCCGCATTCATTGGGACATGGATAATCGTAGATGCACTTCTGCTAAATAGCGGCATTGCTCATCAGCCATTCTGTCGCTTATTTTGCGTACCATGGCTTGCATGGTCTCGTTCGAACAAAAACTGGCAAAGACTGGCTTGTGAAACTTGTCTGCTTTTGCTTGCGGCACTTCGGGGATTTCTAGCTTTTATCGAAAACTCGCTTCCTTACACAGTGGGTGTGCAAGTGAGGCTTAGAAGGGGTCTCTTTCCCGCAGTCCTTGCCCCAACGTACAAAGAAACTGATGGTATGACTCCACACCGTGAGCACATTGCTGAAAACTGTACCTGTACAGGGTGTTTTCACTGACGTAATTTGGTCCACCATTTTGTTGTTGTGAGCTGTCTGGCGTGTGCCAAACTCGAGCATTCCAAGGATTTGCATGCCCCCTCAAATGCGTGAGCACCAGTGACATCATTTCAACCGGTTACGATGTAACCCTTCAATGTAGTAAATTTGTTTGAAAAAACAAACTAACAACAAAATGGCGAATTGACGTCATTTGCAAACAACCTATTCCTTTTGCAAAATATGGGTTTGGTAATAAATAGATTTGGTAGCACCACTGCCCCCTCATTTACTCTCTTTCTTTTTGGTTGAGCGGAGGAGAATCTGTTTTGGAGCATATCTGGTTCCGCGCAGTTTCATGCAATTATCAAAACCTTATACTCGGAAAAGATAAGCTTTTGTTATCCCCTTAACTTCTAAACAAAAAGTATTTCGCAGCCTCTACTGGTGATTTTGGGAGCAGGTCGAGCCCCTCCCACAAAGCTTTTTGCTCGCTATGATTAGTGGTTTCCTCCTTTCCACTCCTCGTTTCCAGCGTTTGCTCTGCTCAAGTGGAGGGCTTTTTGTGGGAGGAGCTAATGGAACGGACGGAATGTAGTGGATGTCTGCTGCCAGAGGCTGTGCTTCCTCTAGCCAATATGAGTGGGGGAAAATGGGACAGTTTACATGCTATCTTTTTTTTGTGTAGCCTGGTGGGCATATAGGAACATGTTTAATGGTCCTAAATATAGTGTAAAAGACCCTTCTCATCACTTTATCCTAACACTTCTAAAAATGTAAAAATCTCGAACAAAACTGTGTTCTATACTGCCCTCCACCCAGAATGGGACACGTGCAAGGTAGTGCTAAAAACTGTGCTAATAAATATTATATGCAGACCGGTCTTCCTCAGACAGAAAGCCCGATAGCAGTCGACTTTTTTCCTTGAATTGTTTGAGGTTTTGGACCTGTGATTAAAAGTGCGGTGACAGACGTGAAGGGGGGGGGGGGGGGGGGGGGGGGGGGGGGGGGGAGGGATGCGAGCAGACGACGGACGATGTCGAAGCACGGAGCGGCTATGTTCGTTTTGGTTTGAACCGAAATTTGGATTTCAGAAAGCAATGCAGGGGCTGTAGGCGGGACGCTACGATCCCTACAACGCTACTCGTAAGGCGATATTAGGTCGAGATTGAACGAGGCCGACGGGGCGCGTGACGTCTCGTGTCCTCTCTTCGTTTCGTCCCCTCAAGGCGGCGAGGCGGAAAAGACGCGAGGCCGTTCCCTCTCCTTCTCGACTCTCCTCAAAGAAACAAGACGAGAACATATCAATCCAATGCGCCTCCTTTTTTTTTTTTTTTTTTAAGATACAGTCATTTGTTCCATATATCGCTGTATAAGTGATGTTTTTATGTTTGTAGCATCCCTTTGCACGCTTTTGCCGCGTGTTTTGTGGAATCTAGATTTCGGTTCTGCATCCCTTTAAAGGGCAACTCCGCTAAATTTCAAAATTTTTGAGATAGTGGCCGATTTTGCTTTCTGAAGCATTCAAAAACAATCCCCAATCTTTTGTTTCGCGAAAAATAAAATATTTTTCGTGTAATTTTACTCTAGCCATGATCACAAAGCGAAACCGAAACGGTGGCAAAGCCGGACAACATTGTATATTCGGCATCACTAAGCATGTACACCCACGTGATATACAAGGGGAAGAAGGAGCTCCCCTCTTATCAGGATCCTCCTTTGTGCCTCCTGGATAAGCACAGGCGTCGCTATTCTCCTCCCAGAAGATTATAGAAGATTAACCTGTCACTCAAAATTCTTACAAAAGCAGCTTCCCTCTCCTCCTTTTATATGGTGTTCAAAAGTATGCGATGTAACACAAGCCGCGCTCAACGAGGCGATCGGCTTATCAGTAGTATCAATAGTCGAGCGCCGGGCCGGCCGAGCGCGTCACTCACGTCTTTCACGGCGCTGGCGCCACCCGTGCTCTCCCCGGGAAAAAAAAAAAAAAAAAAAAAAATGAAAAAAAAAAAGAAAAAAAAGAGAAGCTGTACATGTTTGATGACGTCGCGGACGTGCCGGGAGAAGGAATTTGGAGGAAGCGGAAATGCAGCCGGGCAGTGTTGTCTGGCCTGCACGTCTCATCCAAAACCAGCGGATTCGTGCTTGTCAAACTTTGACAGCGATTTTAATGAACTTCTAGGCGGAATTCCGTCGTAATATTTGCCATGGGGGTTTTGTAGATGATAACAAAGAGAACTGTATAGTTTTGCACTACTGGAAAAGAAGCGGAGTTGCCCTTTAAAGGGGCACTGACACGTCAAAATCTTTTGTTTTTATTATTATTATTATCCGAAATTATTGAAAACGATGCCGGGACATTACGTTCAATATTCGAAACTTGAAAATTCAGTATTTGTGAAGGAAAAAAAAAAAAAAAAACATTTCCAAATGCTAAAATTAAAGTACCCGCGCGGCGGTGCTGCCTGCCCAGGCGCATGCTTTTCCGAGGGAGAGAGAAAGCTCCTTGCACAGGACGTCATTTCCGTTGCCCGCCAAAGAAGAGGGGAAGAGGGAGCTCCCCTCTTATCAGGACCCTCCTTTGTACCGCCCGGATTTGTACAGGCGTCGCTATTCTCCCCCCAGAAGATTATAGAAGATTAACCTGTCGCTCAAAATTCTTACAAAAGCAGCTTCCCTCTCCTCCTCTTACTTGGTGTTCAAAAGTGTGCGATGTGACGTCAGTGCCAGATGGCGACATCGCACCAAAATCCGATTTTTGGTATTTCAAAAAGAAAGGCCGTTTATGTTTTACGATTGCCGTTATTAAATGTTATGGAAATGTCGCCTACAAAGTTTCTAAATTTCACGATTTTTGACGTCACGAATCAAAAGAAGCGAGGGGCAAAGAGCGGGAGAGGAAAACGCCAACAATAAAAAGGCGCGCGCGCGCGTGGGAAATTTTTTTTTCGCGATGCGTTTTTTTTTTTTTTTTTCTTTTTGCGTGTTTATGACTACAACTTGCATCGTTTTAGACGATAAAAAAATACGACCTTTGGGGTGTCAGTGCCTCTTTAAATTTTTTTTTTTTTTTTTGGCAACGCATTGTATATTTATCCAGGCAGAAAACACGGTTTTCTTTTCTCGGGAACTCCCTGTACATTTAAAGGGACACTTCAACGAAATTTTAAATATTCCCGCCGTGTTCAAAAATAGGTTGAATATGATCCACAACATCCTTAAAAGACAATCACACGTTGGTACTTTGAGCCCGGTGGCTGTATTTTTCGTTATAAACGGCCCACTCTGGCAAGCGCTCGGAGAAGGCCCAGCGGAGACCACGTGACATCCAACGCAATCGTGACGTAGGTCGTCTCAGGACGAGCAAAGCTATGGCGATGCTGACTCGATAGGATGGCCTAGTCGTTCCAGCCACCGAAGCGGCCGCTTTTGTACGAATTTTGAGTGACGGCTTAATCTTCTATAATCTTGTAGGGGGACAACAGCTACTTCTGCGACACACAAAAGGCGTTCCCGGGAAGAGGGGAGTTCCTCGTTCCCCTCTTCTCTCGTCGTGGCCGGAGACGAGACAACCTCCGTCACTAGCTGCCAAGTTTCCTAGACGAGCATTACAAACGAAGCGTTAGTGACATCCACCAGGTGCGCTTTGCTAATCGTTCAATTCGTTTTCAAATTCCTTTTCGAGACATTTTTAACAAGATATTGGTATGTTCGATGTGATACTGCTCCTTTGAACACATATAGACCAAAAAATGAGCGCCGAAAGTTCGTTGTAGTATACCTTTAAGTTACACTTTAATTTACAATTTTTAATAATTAAAATACAACCTTCGTGTTTTTAGTAAGTAAAACATTTGTAATCGCATTTCTTTACGTTTTCATTGGCTCGCGATAAGCCATTACCTCGTTTCGTTCGCGTTGGAATTTCATTGTAATAAAACACCACGTGATTGACGAAGAAAGTGAAAGAAAGCTCAATGTTCCGATTTGGTCAGAAGAGCAGTGCTTTTTGCTCGCGACCAGCCTGTTGCAATCTTTCTTGCTTGCTGATTATTTTACTTAGATACAAAACGAACGCACATAGAAGGCATGAAATGAGACGAACTGTAAGCAGATTATTTACGAGGGAAAAATTCGATCACACCAAAACTGGTGTGATTTGGATCACAACTTTGTAATCGTGATGTGAACCACGATTTCAATCATCTTCATTTTTATTCTTCATTCTGACTACACTTAGTTTCAGCTTAAGTCCAGACGCAGCCGACGTTACGAGCTAATGGGACTAATCAAGCAGCTTTAAAAGTCACTGGGCCTTTTTTGTTCGATTGATTCAGTGATGATAGAACACGCACAAAGACACGATGAACACGAACACCATAGTGCAAAGAGGCGTGCGCAGAAAACACCAACATGTCTGACAAGCCTATTCGCGACTCCAGCGACCTGTAGGGGGCGCCACCACCAAACAAACATGGCGGCTGAGTCCAGGTCGCGGCGGCTCGGCCGGGCCGCCTGAACAGGTGGCGCGTTCAATTTAACAGATTTTCTTTTGTTTAATGCCAAATTTTATAGGTATTTG